GACCATCCGGTCCGCGTTGAATATGTTTGCTTGCAGAGCCCACAACGTCGACGTCTCATGTCGACGCCCAGGTTTTCCCCGAAGAACAAAACAGGCCCAGGCGGGGCTCTCAGAGACCGCCCAGGCGGGGCTCCGGAGGCTGGACGATGGTTTAAGCGAGTAGAAGCCGTTCTGACCATCAAGCTACCAGCTTCTCGACCTTTTTTCGGCATCGTTCGATTGACATGCTACGGTATTGGGTTGAAGACCTGCAGGAAGCTGTTTTTGTCTTATATTAAATATTACCAGACTTCTTTTAGGGTCGTAATGAATATGGACACAAGCCGAAATGAACACACAAGAAGTTATAGGGTAAGTGGAGCGCAACCTGTTTCTAGCTGGAAACAAACTTCGCTGCAACGGCTACTACTGTAAGTCCATTCCAATCATTTTCAGCAACCTTGTAAGATCTTGTGAGCAACCTAAGTACACATCCTGTCCGAACATCCCAAGGAACTAGCCGACTTTCCAGTTTGGCCCAGGCCTCCTGTTGCAAATGACCCAAGACGACCTCTTCCTTCTGTCGAAGACGGTAGTCCTGGCCCCCCCCGGGACGGGACGCACTTCTGGGGCTCAACGGCCCTAAAAGGTGTGGCTTTGGAGAAAGCAGTCAGGTCAGGTCCTTTGGCTTCTTCAATTCGGGACTCTCTCCAAGGCGCCGGGAGTTGCCATTTAGAAAAAAGAAAACATAAGAAAACACCTTAATTGAGACGGGTTTTCACATCACTTGCACCAAAACAGGGTACATGTGTGGTCCTTTCACGTTGTTCGCTGGCAAAATGCCAAAGAATCCAGGGTCCCCGGACTCTCCAGCTACCTAGACCTCCAGAGATTTGCTTTTCTATATTCAGCTAATTGTATTTTTGTTAATTCCTTATCGACTCTAAGACTACCAGGGAATCCAAATGTGCATTTTTTTTGTTCAAACACGTTCGCACAAAAAATCCGTGCATCCGGCCTTTTTTGTCAAATGGACAAATTTTCTGGAATTCCTCCGAATATTGGGTTTGATTGGGTTTTTATCAATATAATTGTTTGGGTTTTTGTCGATAAATTTTTGATAAAGTTTGGGTTTCATATGGGTACGCTTTTGTACGGTATTGTTTTTGTGTCCATACGGCTAAATACGCCAATTCGTTAATTAAAATGTCCATACGATCAATTCTGTCCAAATACGGCCTTCGCACCAAAAAAAGTGTTCATACGCCTTTCCAGGTATTGTATAGAGGAGGGACCTTATCGAACCTGGATCTCGATCTTGGTCCAACAAAACAAGCGGGATCAATAGAGACCCATGGTGAAATGGCGGTTTCAGGTCTTCGATGTCGATGATTCTACCCCCCATCGAAGGCAGCTTCCACCCATCGAAGTTCGTGGACGACTTCCAACGACTTCCACCCATCGGGATTGACGACTTCCTCGGACCACGATATGAACCAGCGAATCGTCTTCCTCACGCCGAGTACTATATGATACTATATGCGGATTGTTTGGTCAACGCCGATGTCTGGCTGGGTCATCAACCCACCAAAGACTTCCAACACCTATCCCCCAAATTCGCTGCCCCGAGGTGTCCCGCGTGTGGAACGAACGGTCACCGCACCGCACGGTAAGGTCGCCGGGGGCGGGGATCGGAGTGGGGAACCCACCCTCGCGCCTGGTCCCCTGCGGGCTTTTCGACGCAACAGGCTTGTAGCCAATCCTCAGATGAGGAAGCTTTTTGGATGCAAACGAACGTGGTGACATCCCCGACCGCCGTGCTGAGGGTGGTGAGGTTTCCGGGGCCCCCATGATACAACGGAACTGGGGACCCAACATGAAGGGACGGGGATGTGGTGACAATGATGTGGTGACATGCCGGTGACACGGAGGTCCGGCCCCCATCCATCGCAACGATTGGCCACCCCGCCTTACCCCCCCTACCATCCGCTACCAGTGGAAAGAACATGACGTAGCGTCCTACACATGTGGTAGTATTGTTCTTATCAACTTGCAGAAAATCCGCAGCCTGTTCCAACTATAGCGAACTCGCTCAGCAAAGGAGCCGTCTTTCGGACCATGTCCGGCCGACGAAGGTCGTCACACCGGTCACGACGATGGGGGCAAACACCCGGTCCGTCGGTGGAATTGGTACCAGCTTCTTCAAAGTGACCTCTTTGGAGTGCCATCCAGTGACCTTTTACAGGCCTGTTTGTGACCTCAAACTGGGATATCAAGTACGGTCACTTTGAAGGAAACCCGTGGGACGGTCCAAGCTTGGACGGTGGAACATCGAGTCGCCAGCCGCACGGACGTCCCGACGCTCAAAGAATGGCGAGCTCGTGAGTCACCAAAGAGTGGCTGGTGACACGGTTTTTACCCATTTTTTTATTCATGGGGATCTACTTGTCCATTCTATATTCGGGAACCCCTATACTATACTGTATCTTCAGCTTCACATCCATCGAAACCAAACACAGCAAGGCGATAGATGCTCTATTGGTGTAAAAGTCCATCTTTTCGAAGCTCACTGAAACTGCCAAGGAGCAAAGAAGGAGAATTGTGGTTTCGGTGGCTGGGGCGCCAAATAGGTATTCACCGCATCCGGTTGCAAGGTATGACGCCTGAGACAACTGCATGGGGCCCGGCGGGGGTGGGGGGGGGGAGGAGGATGAAGTTTGGAGAATGATCAGTGGATCAACCAAGGAAAGGTCAAGGTGTACCTCGACTTCGAGAGAAGGGCAGGAAGCGTGCGGCCGGCGTACGAAGAAAACCGGACAATCTGGTTGCAATGACATTGGCTCTTTTGATCTCTTTTGCCTCCCATTCAAGAAGCTTCAACAAGTCGTGGCTTATTAAAGGCTGAAAGCATCTGGAGACCGTTTCTTTGTAAACAACACATTGGGACTTGAGCCAAGTGTCCTCAAAAGGGCACCAAAGTCGCAACAGACGGAGCTGTGATAGGCTGCAGTCAAGGCACAAGAAGGCCACCATCGTCGGCCAAATCTAAACCCCAAAGATGACACTGCTAGGGTCTAGAGATGGCTGCGTGGAGAATCCAACAGGAGGCGTGAAGACCATCAAGGTTGAAGACCATCTGTCCCATAATCAAAGCTACAAACCTTTTGCATGAAACTGGGCATGGCCGCGAAATTGTCCGCTGTCATATTGGATCAACGATATGTCTGGACCCATAGGAAACAAAACAAGGGAAACATCCTCCACTCCACTTGGTCTGGACCAAGGGATATTGAAAACAAAACAAGTGGCCCAAAAGGGTCCACGACTTAGTCCAACCTAGTAACCTAGTCCTTCCAGCGTCAAATTGCATTTTTCTCACGGAGCGAACTTTTGGGACAAGGCAAAAGGCGGCTTAGCCGCCCGAAGCGCTTGCTGCGGCCTCCTCACGAAGGATTGGACCCAAAAGAACGACTGGTGGGTAACAGTGTCTTCTGGAGAAAGCAGCGTCTTCCTCTGTCGGTCTATGTGAATGCTTCAGGTGCACGATACCAACTCAATAAGTAGCCCCAATGGAACGAGCTGATGGACAGCTTCTTCTGCTAAGTGCTTCTTCTGTTTCCAAAAGATCCCCCTTCGTAAGTAGACATGCCAGGGGTTTGCATGGACTGCTGTTTGGGAGAATGAGACCGGTCGAAACTCAAAAAAAGAACAAAGGAACAACTAGTTGGGACCTGTGAACAACTAGTTGGAACAAAGGAAGAACCCAAATAGTTCTTCCTGCGGACGACAGGTCCTTGTGGTTTTGGCGTTTGTCCTTCCATAGTGTTGGTACCTGGACAATTCAATGGTTTCATGTAAACAACCACCTGTTCCAACCGTGGCGTTTGAAAGAGACAGAGAGAGCGAGAGAGGAACGCATCAAGCGGCCTTGGCAGGTTGCAGGGCTGACAGGCTGGCGACATGATCAACGGAAAATGTTGCAAGATGTTGCAAGATATATACAGGTTTGCAGGGCTGGCGGGCAGGGGATTCCAGTGATGAGTAGTCTCGACCCTGGAGTGCTCGCAAGAATGGTGTGCGTGCTAAGGGATTGACTCAACCAAGAATCATTGCACTCAATTGAACGATGTGGACCAGCTGATATCGCCTCTGCTTCTAGTTTAGGGCAACTGGGGAGGACTACAGAATGGCCAAGTTGAGCCGTCTTGCGACCCGCGGCTCCGAAAAAAGAGTTGAGACATGCAAGGTGATGCCAAGAATGCGCCAGTTCTCATCAAGTTCGCGGCTCTGCAGGGTTTCAGAGGATCTGGGCTTCAGGTGTTTATTTTTCTGGAATTGACGCATCTATGTGGATGCACTTGTAGAGTACATGCAGTGAATGCACACACAGTTTCACGGGCAATGATTAACAGAAGTCAAACAAAAGACTGCGTGGATGCGCCCTTGGATTGACAATTCACATGTGTTTTACTACTTTATTGTATTGTTTAACCAAAACACACTTGAATATTAAAACTCTATATAGAATCACTCTGTTGCCCTCAGTCTCAAAGCAAGCATAGACATGGGGACTTGTTGATGCTATCATTGAGACATCCTCTGTTTACTTTGTGTAAACGTTTTAGACGAGACATCCCCGGTGTATCAACACTCGCATGGAAATCGATATGACGGCTGGCAGGCTGGATCCCGAAGGGCAAGCTTTTGCGTGCATGGTTGAAGTACAGGCCGAAGTGTCCATCTTAGATGGGGATCCACATCAAACGTCGGCGGGTTGATCCAAATGGGCCTCTTGAGTCAGTGGATCTGTACTCATTCCCACATGCGCACAAGCAAAGAAAGACCTCTGAGGATTCTGAACGTCTTGCAGACTAAGAAATGAGTACTCAAGACTCTCAAAATGCATCTGGACGAAATGCCGGTCAAAGACCCCAACATGGCCTTGTCTCACCAGCAGGGGTTTGATGTCTTAACCACTTTCTGCTGGCCCAATGGGTTCATTTGTCCTTCAACCAATAAGAGCCCCTAGAGTCAAAGCCTTGAGATGAAATTCTGAGGATTGCATACAAGCGAGATGATGAGGACTGTCCGCTGGGCAGGTATGCCAACGGCATGCGCCTGCCAACTCTCAGAGTGGCATTGCGATGAAATCCTGCAAACATGTCAGTGCAAGGCGGTGTGAGACTGTCAAGGTGAAGTCCGTTAGAATCCAACTTAATCAAACTTAATCCAAGAAAGCCATGTCTGAACAAACGACACATGCAACAAGGATGTGGTTCAAGGGAGCGTGCACTGCTCAAGCACCGGTCTTCTTATAGTCAGCAATATAATTAGCAAATACTGTAAAGACCTGCTTGGATTTGCCTTGCCAAGAACGACAGGGCCTCTCTAAATCCACACCACCATGGCGCCACTCTCCCTCGCTTCTCACTGATTCCCAACCTAAGACCTCCTCCATCGATGCTACCGCTGTCTAGGCCATGGCAACATGGAGGGTTGCTGTGCGGGTCGAATGGCTCGTGCATCAAACATGGCTGAGACGATACGTGACGTGAGTCGACCTTCCACATCCTTCCACGATGGAAGGTTCTCCGGTCCACCCAGCCCTTCCACGAAGAGTCCACGAATGGCGGCCAGGACTGTGAAGAGAAGGTATGAGAAGGTTCTGCATTAACACCAGAAATTCCCCTTCTTCAGCCAAGCAAACCAGACTTTCCGGCTCACACTAGCTGGAGTCCAACAATTTCGAGGGTCAGTGTTCCAGTGACATGACGGAAGAACGGTACGACCCTTCGCGGTTGGAGCGGTGGTCATCTCAAAAACAAGGATGACTTGCAGCGAGCGGGCGCACCAACCCGTCGTCATCCATCGATGACCTCACCCGCACCTGGCAAGCATCTTTCGATTTGGCCAGCTTGGGCATGGCATCCTGGCGATCTCCGGTGGTCAAACGTCCGTGCGCCGGCTGAACTTCAAGGCCGGCGCCCAGGGGGCTGAGGCTGTGGTTCTTGTGGAAAGAAGTGCATGGAAGTACACGGCATTGAGTCATTTACATGGAAGTGGATGGCGCCACCCGTTTGGTATTCGTTTCTTCTTGGTCTTCCTTTTGGGGCCATGTTCCACTTCCATGATGGTCTAATGGTCTAATGCTTTGGGTCTATCCTTACCAATAACAGTGGAAGATGATGGTCAGGTTGAAGGCCTTGTTCAAAAACATGATAATTGTTTACTGACTGTTACAGGTAATAGCACAGACCCAACTGACTGAACTATAATACTATAACCATCTATTTTCAAGGCTTTGAAGGAGTGCATCCCCGGTCGCCGCCCGAGTCGGATGCCAAAAGCTGGAGTCGAGCGCACGTCACCGATGTCGCTGATCCGGGCGCCTCTTCGGCGGAAGCGGACGGATGTGACTTACATGGAGAATGAGTGAACTACAATGAGTGAACTACAATGAGTGAACTACTACAATCCGCCGGCCTGCCGGCGTGTTTTGTGGATTGTTTTGGTTAGTATTGCTTGTGTTGGCTTCAACCTACGGTTTGTATCTCCGCGCGGATTTTTCGACAGCCTGACGCCCCCCACCCCCCCCCTCTCTACGTCTAAGGTGATTGGACTGAGACATGTCGATCGCTGGATCAGAATAGACAACCATTGGACTGAGACACGTCGATCGCTGGATCAGAATAGACAACCTCTGATTCGGATTCGTTCGATTTCATTGTAAAACGACTTCGCTTGAAATCAACATCAACAAACTCTCCCAGCAAAATGTGCAACTCCAATGCGCCCACAAGTCTGATTGAGCAGGGTATTGTTGTTCGATGTCATTCTGGGTCTTTCATTTCAAACGGTTTGGAGAAAAAAACGACAAATCATGCCAGATCTAGAAATTCTTCGCTCGCTTTGAAGCCTTCTGTGTGTGAAAAAGAATATCTGGTGCGTGTCGCAATCCCTCGAGACGGTCGGAAAAAAGATCTGAAAAGGAAAACATGCAAACGGCCAAGTAGTTTGGAAGAAGAATCGTTTTCAAGGTCATGTTTTGTGGATAGTCTTGGTTCGCATTGCTTGTGTTGGTTTCAATTGGTTCCTCTTAGGTGATTCGACTGAGACATGCCGGTTCGGATCGCTGGATCAGAATAGACAACCTCTGATTCGGATTCGTTCCATTTCATGGTCAAAAAACCTTGAAATAAACATCAACAAAACCCAGCAAAATGTGCAACTCCAATGCACCAACAAGTATGATTGAGCAGGGTATTGTTGTTCGATGTCATTCTGGGTCTTTCATTTCGAACGGTTTGGAGAAAAAACGACAAATCATGCCAGATCAAGAAATTCTTCGCTCGCTTTGAAGCCTTCTGTATGTGAAAAAGAATATCTTGTGCGACTCGCAATTCCTCAAGACGGTCGAAAAAAGATCTGACAAGGAAAACATGCAAAAGGCCAAGTAGTTTGGAAGAAGACTCATTTTCAAGTACCGGCTTTGTGGATTGTCTTGCTTCGTCTGGCTTGTGTTGGTTTCCATTGGTTTCAATCTATGGTTGGTTTCAATCTACGGTTTGTTTCTCCGCGCGGATGTTTCGACAGCCTGCCCTGCCCCGGTTGCTTCAGACTAGGCCATGGCGAGAACAGGAAAAAGCGAGTTGAATCAAAGAGACGTGCCGGATTATATAGCTGCTTCAGCCTAGAAGAGGTGATCTTGTCCCTGCCTTGGAACGAACATAGAACTGTGGAACACTGTTAATAAGCATCATTAGGCTGCCTGCCAATGCGGGCTCGAGCTGGTGGCCGGCGGCATGCCGAAGGCTGTAAATAATTTGTTTGATTCTTGTAGTTCACTCATTCTCAGTGGTTTTCAGGGGGTTGCTGACCCTCTGGAGGAGGATCAATGATCCATTCTTACCTTCATGATCCTTCATGAACAAAAAGTGGAAGTGGAAGGGTCAAACTTCATCGGTCTTCCAGCCGTCCAGGCACATGCCTATGGACCTAAAACCAGTGAATCTTTGACATCAAACACATCGAATCTGCGGCTTGGCCCTGATCCATCGAATCTGCGGCTTCCCTTCGACTCGACCCATGTGTTCTACAATTGAAGGGGCGTTCGCATGACAAAAAACGACATCTTGGTGGTACCGACTCAACCTGCCCTCATCGCCGGTCCCGTATCAGCTGCTTCTCACTGGCAGGCGCATTCTTCGCCAGTGGAATCCACCTGCAAGCGCATTCGCGCGAAACACCATCGCCGTTCTGGATGAAATAAATGGGTACACTCTGTCTCACTCACATGGAAGTGGATGGCATGGTCCCCTGGAAGACTACTTGCCTTTACGAACAGTGGGTGTCCACTTCCATCTATACATTATATATTTCTCGTGAGTCGGAGTGTACTCATGAACATAGGGACCCTCTAGTCCAAGAACCTTGAACAAGAACTTCGTTCAAAAGGTCCAAGGTTCCTGGGTTCCCAGGTGCAGGTTCAACCTGCAAACCAAAAGCCTGAGATGTGATTGGGTTCCTCCAACCTGGTCGATCTCGTATTGGATTTCGGCAAAACCACATCCGACCTGGGCGAACTGGGAGCAAACATACGGGAGGATCAAGAATCTGGTGTATTGAAAGACAAGCACCTTGGAAGCTGGCTGGTGGGGGATACCTTAATTGAAACCTCTGCCAAACCTGCACCTAAACTGGTGAGCCAACTGGTCCTGGCTGAACAAATGGGCTGCCAAAAACTGGTTCCAACATCCGCCCTTTTCTTGCGGGGTCGAAATGGATGGTGAATGGATGGTTAATGGGTTCACTTGTCGAAAAATCCACGCCCTTTGGATATCTTGGTATAGCATGGCAAACATATATTGAAAACCAAGGCAGCGCCTTTTACATATATATATATATTGTTCTGAAGATTAGCAGCGAAATCAATGGGTTCACACTGATGGGGGGGCTCTCCCTGACACGCACACACACACATGTACTGCTGCATACGGTCAGAACAATCCTGCAACACTCAAAACTGAAAGTAGAGTCGAGTCTCCACTGCAAGAACGACTGGAAAAGGCTCTTGAGGTGCACACGCGCTCCTTCGGAGGACATTGCCGCTTTGATGCAGCCTGGAAAGAGGCAACGAATTCGGGAGGATTTGCTTCTGTTTTTTCAATCGGGTGGATAGGGTATAGTTTCCTCGTGAGAATTGCCCAGACTGCCAACTTCCTCTGCAATCTTACATCCTACGACTCAGAAAAAAACATTCAATGCTGCTGAGATCTTCAAGTATATGAAACCGGAATTGAAAGTCCCAATTGGTGACGAAACACGTTCCGATGGCTTATATACATTCCAGATTTTGTTCCGAGACATCAAGGCAAACCATGTGACATGTGTTGAGAATAGTCCCAATGTGATAGATGCCAGCGCACCAACCAAAAAGCAAGCCGGTATGCGATCACTGGGCAGCCGTGCGGCCCATTCGGCCTCTTCTTTACGGGGCCCACTCCAGAGCGAAGCAAGGTTGCCTCCAGCTAGCAGGACACGGCAAATTCTACGGACCACGAACAACTTGGATTGGGCCAAGCTAGCACTAAACAAGAGGATTTTCCCAAAAAATTATAAGTGGGCAAAAAGTCAACCGAAGACTGTCCGTGGCGGCTCGAGATGTCCCTTTGTCTTTTAGTAGTGTGTCATCACAAGATGTTTGTCTGACTCCCCCAGCTTGCCTAGAAAATAAAGGACATATGTATATATATATATATATATATATGGTTACACCTGTTCTTGTTTAGTGCGGAAACCAATACTGCCCAAAGTTGTCCATTTGCATGTGTGCTACAACATGGTAATTACAAGTATACGTGCAGCTCGCACGTTTCTATAGTAGAGTTGTTGGTACGAATGTAGACAGATGAGACTCGTGGACACCGCCAATCATCCCGCTCCCCAGCGACACGCCACATTTACACCAGCATGTGTTTCCTTCCCCCAATGGCACAGACTCACACAAACGCACTTGCCAATCTTTCCACCCGTGGCTATGCAAAACCACATGGCGCAGCGACATCTCTACCCAAGACCACTTCAGAATCGCTTGTGCACCGCAAAATGGTCTCTCTGCTCTGCACCTTTTCTGGGGGATCCTGTGGTGCACAAGCGATCCAATTGTGCCGTGCACAAGCGACCCCCCAACCCGCATTCTGAACAAGAAGGGAGTTCTGCTTCATGGATTTGAACATGGCAATTCCCAATTGACGCATCCCTGCTGCCTCGCCTGCTTCTGAGTTCGTGACATTCGAGAGGTCGAAGTGCTTCTGGCAGGATCTGACAGGGCTGTGCACTGGCCACCGACTGGGTGAGGATTTAAGTTCAAGGATGATACAGTGAACTGCCGACGTCTCTCAGCTTGAGCACTGTTGGGACACAAGCCACTATGGCTCGGTGGAGGAGGTCTGTACTTAAATGGCAGCTCGTCTAGCAGCACTGAGTGGTCAGAAGAGGTCTGTTTGGATCAACAAATGTATAGTATAATAACCGTAACGTTGAGTCTACTGTATCAAAATAAAACAACTGGAGATGTAGGACCATCTGGTAGGTTGTCTTTAAATCAGCATTGCTAATTGTAGAACCATGTATTTTTAGAAGCTCCAGCCATCGGCCCATCGGCCCTTCCACCTGGGTCTTCAGGTCGCAAACCAACGTTGTCCTCGTCTTGGACGGTCGTCGTTGGATCCTGGCCCAAAGCGAGACACGCAGAAATAGGCGATCGGACACCCGTGAGACAGGAAGAAGATGCGTGTTGATGCCGTCCAAAAAGGTTGCAGGCGCTCACTATATCTAAATATTATATATTATATTATATCGTATTATAGACTGACTCATCTACACACTACACACTTGATAGTACCTGGATCTAACTCCAAGTGTTAAGATGACAAACCGATATCAGGTTTTACATTCAAGATCAGTAGATCGCGAGCGCAACTGGGGGCAAAAAGCTGACAAATCTGGGCGGAAAGCAAATTGCAAGAAAGAAATTGGTCAAGAATAGGCCTCCTTCCTGACTCCTTTCTGACCTTTATATGCGTATATAATATATATATATATATACTACAGTATGCATGCATGGTCAAATTGTTTCCGCATAAAAAGGTTGCCCTTTCAAGGAGGATCCTTGAAGCTGTCCGATTAAAAGGTATGGTTTTGTCTCTTCGAGTGGGATCTTGTTGATTCTTGAAGGGAATCATGAGAAGATGCATTTGACGAACAGAACCAAAGGTCGAACCCTTCTGGACATGTCCCGTTGAGACGCACCTCTCGATCACGTCCCAGCCTTGCGAGAAAAGACACATATTCCAGGACCAAAAGGATCGCCAGTAGCCAATGAATCCATTGGGTGAGTGTAACAACCTATTAGTTTGGACTCAAGAGCATTGACCCAATGTGTCGAGCGAGACCGCACCTATATGATTCATAATATGATCTTATACAGGAACAACCACATAGAACATCACGGAACCACGGCATAACTGCATAACTATACCTATAGTGGATTGAGAGGAGATGGCCCAATCCCAAGGTCGGTGGTTTATATGGACCCCCATCTGAAAAGAGACATCGGCTGGGGGTTGTGCCATCTGGGGAACCATTCTCATTGGATCCATTTGCTCCAGAGTCTCGAACTTTTATCGTTTGTCTCAACTACCTGCGCATCATCGCGTCATGTTGGGGTCGGACCGGACCTGGCTGGTCTGGCTGGTCGGATGTGGAAGACCCTGGAAGAGGCCAAGATGAGCTGGGAAGTTACTTCAAATACTATTCTTGGCCACATGCGACGTGCTCTCCAGATGTCTCCCCTCTCTCCAACCCTTTGGCATCATCTGACCCATTTGGTTGCAGGGTGTCGTGTTTAGTCGCCAACTCACCCTGGTCTACGTAATGCAATGATGCATCCACAACCTTTGACCATGGACCGTTGCATGATTCGGTCCAAGAGCCCCGATCACACTCGGAGTCTTCTCCAGACGTCGCAAAACCAGGCCATAATCTCAGGACTGGTTGGGTGAGTTCCATCTAACCCTGATGGGTGTATTTGGGAGACGACCAGTCTCGACCCATTGGGCCGGTCTCCGATCCAGCTCAGAGATCCGCATGGTCAGTCGCTCCTGGTGTCTCCATTTTGGGCTGCCGGGCAGTTGTCGCTCCCGCTGACCCAACCAGCCAGCGACCTCCATCGGCCCCCGCTGGATGGCGGTGATGCGGACCTGGATGGCGGAGATGCGGACCCTGGCAGTCATTGAAGAGTTCCGACCATGTTCGAATCGAATTTGACCAATCTGCATCCTGCTTTTTTTTATCCTCCCTTAAACATGTCATATATAATTGTCCAAACCCCTCAATGATGGCCCATGGATGAAGCTAGTCCACCGTTGCGAAGCAATACCCTCCGCCACCGCCACAAACCGCTGTGAACTCCTCCAGGAGGGCCCCGGACATCTGCGAAATGGACGTCGTCCCGGTCGCTCTGTGTGGAGTTGTAGAAGGCAATGGAGCCTGGAGAGTGTATTGCCGATATTGGTTTCATCTTTGCTCCAACTATACCTTAATCAAACTATGTTGGCCGTGTAATTCGTTGGCCAAGTCTTTGGTTCACCCAGGGCAGCGAATGAACGCCCGGTTGCGGACAAGGTTGCAAACAAGGTTGCGGACCGCCGAACATGTGCTGCCCCTTCAGTAGGGAACTGGTATTTCACTCCATTCTGGCAAAATGGTCCCAGCCTTTGTTGCGCCTGCACTTGAACTTCAGGTGTACTTTGCGGTTTTGAACCTTGGCTGACTGGGACGCGCAAAGACAAGGCACTCCGCCAAGCTTTGGCTCTCCAAGCAATGCAAAAGCTCAGCTGGTGGCCATGATCACACCATTGTAGCCTGACACCACTCGTGACGATCGAAACACCGGGAACCCCGCAGGTCGGTGTTCAGTTCTCAGACGAAATCCGAACGGTATATATGTCATAACATGCTCCTCCAAAGGAACGAGCATAACATGCTCCTGGTGACCTGTTGTCTCTGTCGATTTGAAGACCGCGAAAACGGCGAAAGGACCCCCATGGGGGTTCCCAGGAATCGTCTCCGAAGCCACGAGCGGCTCGGCTTGCGCTGAGCGGCTAAGCTTCGGGTGTGTGTGTGTCCTACTATGCTTGGATGCATTCTTGACAACACCGACGGCCATACTCGAGTAGAGGATTCATATATAAAACACCCAACAAACGCTTGTCATAAATTGAAATGTTGAAACTGTAATTATTACATTAACATGTCAAGAATTGAATCTGTTGACTGAAAAGCACTTGCATTGCTTCAGCTCTCTATCAATCAACCTGCCAATCAGTTCCTTCTTTTCTTGCCGCGAACACTCCAGTCACCGCCCCAGAACCTCCCATCACCACCCGCGCGTGCCAAGCCTTGCATTAGCACCTCAATCTCCTCCTTGCTGTCAGAGTCGCTATCAGGGTACTGTTTGGTGACAATGGGCCTGCCAGCATGAAAGAAAAACACATGGCCAACGGTTACTGCACTTGTAAATCTCATGAAATCGTGTGATCGTGCATGTCAATGTGGGTGATTTTACCCACAATTAAAACCTGCTTTTGAACTAGTGGAATGGACTGAGATCCTGTTCTGTATGTATGTATATCTATATAATGTATATATACATTATTGGAACACAACACCTAAGGTCTTGATGGTGTTGGCAATATGTATTATGTATGCAATCTTGGTCCATTGGATGTCCGACATGTGACATTTCAGGCCATGAGCTATCGGCTTTGAACGCAGAAATGAAAAGGATCTCTCCGGCTTCCAGTTTGCAGCTGCACAAAGCCAGATGGCTATGAAGACTACGACCGGAAACGAAGAAAAGGAATATGTATATATATATATATAGAGAGAGAGAGATGCTGCAGAAAGAAACATGGGAAAATGCAACTCAATCTGAAAACCACCACTGGCCCAACTACACATCAGTGACATCACCACGAGCCGCAAGCACCACGGACCAAACATACAACGAAGGCTGGCTCATTTTACACTTGGGACTTCCTACACCTCACTTTCAGACCTCGTTCGCGTCCTCGCATCCTGCCCCTCCGTCTCATCCCCATGCTCGTTCGCGTCACCCACCACGTCTCGGAGGGCTCTTCTCTCCGCCTGGAGTCCAAGCCATCACCGGAGAGCAGGTATCTCTTGGTCCCTTGGCCATCTTCAGACTTCCTGGACCGGAGAGGAGTCACCGGTCGCCGGGAGCCACCAAGGTCGCCGGAAACGAAGACCGCGACGGTTTTTTTTGATGTTGTTTCAAAAAAAAAAAATATATATATATATATACATGAGATCATAGACCACTCAGCCAAACGGGATTGAACGTCAAACACGTGCACTTGTGGGATGTCTTCTGAAATTCCACGGACTAAGCATGGTGCTCGCAAGGTCATACCTCTTTTTTCTGTGCTGCAAGGCCAGGCGCCACTTGAGGGGCTCCACAGTCGAAGGAAGTCCAAATTAAGGGTCGGTGTCTGACTCTAGAATTCGACAAGAACCAATGAACCCTTGGATTTCTTCATTGGGAACCTACATGTCTTGGATAAATGCAATATGAGGATGATCAAACCTCGCATGTGAACATCCCAACGTACCGGTACCGGTACGATTCTGTTCTTGTCAATTTACAGTATATACAACAAACAAAAAGGATTCAAGAAACACGCCTTAATACAGATCTGCTGAACATCCATAGCAGCGCCACATGCCCAGGGCCCCGGAGTCACCCCGAAACACCATTCTGACACACCAAACCAACTTGCGATACGTCCATGTTCGTACCTCAGGGTCCTTCCACATAAGCGGGGCGCCCCTTAGCTCAGCTAGTACATTGAAAGATTCCGCATTGACCTTCTCAACTTCCTCGATACATTCTTCCTGCGCTAGAACACTTCACCGACCAGCGGAAGTGTCTCGGTCCAATCCGCCAGTCCGTGCGCCAGATGCTCGACCCCTCCGCCTGCGCTCAACCCAGAAGGAGGCCCCATCGGTGCCTCCAAAGTCCGCCTCCGCTTCGGAGCGATGAAACCGGTGGAACGATCACCGGTCAAAAGAAGAAAGGATGGGAAGCGGGTTGACCTCGTCTCGGTGTGGAACGAAAACATAATGTGCTATAGAATGCAGTATATAATATATTAACATATAGTGTTATGTAGGACATGTTGTTGAATATTGTATATAAAGAGTTGGGGTACTGTCCATACAGCAACAACCCATATATGGTCCATGATATATAATCTGAGCTCCCAATTCCAACCTTCGAGGTAGAATCCACCCAAACTCGTGGAAAACGATGTCCACAACATTACTGGTGCGCCATGAAGGTCCCTGTTGTCTTACCAGGATCTATAATCCAAATCCTTCTTTGAACAAATTCTTTAATCCCAAACCATACCTCGGGTTTTGTAGTTTGTTTTTTTTCCCGCGCCTCTGCGTGCAGCACGATGCCACAAGTACAGGGGCATGGCGCGTGCACGGTGAACTTCATGAGGTACCTGGTGTCGGCTCCGTGCACCGATCTCCGGAGAAGCTCGAACGGGAATCATCGAAAGGCTGGTGCCAGGTACCATAGACCTACATTGGTTGTTCACTTGAGGGTGTGCACTCTATGAATCAACTAACCAATAGTGAAAGGCCATCAATGAGCTGAGCAAATGACCTGGGGCCCCCATGTGCCCTTCCACACTCCTATGTCGTCATGCAAACCCAGAGTCTCACAGTCCATGCCACAAAGACAAGGGACCTTGAACTTGTTCATTGAGAAAACTCGCTTGTCATTTGGGACATACAAGGGGATTCTCAATAGATTGGTTGGTCCCACCAAGTTTCTGGCGCTGGCTCCCACCAAGGAGCTTTGTATATATAGAGAAGCTGATTCACGGGCGGGCATTGTAGTCAACAAGACTTCCCTTCATGTCAGGTCATTGAAAATCATCACAGCAACTGTCAAAACATCCCAAAACAATCCAAAAGATGCAAACTCCCTGAAAAGAAAACATAATCATAGCAATACTCCAGAAAGATGGGGAAGAGCAAACCAAAGCTTGTTGGGCTAACCTGAACAAACATTTGGCACCCAACAAATACACTCATACCGTCGCCATCCCGTGAAAAACATGTAATTTGGACCGATAAAGATACATCTTAAGATATCTGCAGTACCAGTACCTTGGGACATGAACCTGCAATGCTATTTCAGGGTTCGTCCCCATTGGATTGCACACAAATCTGGTTGCTTTCCTCCGGGATGCTTGTCTAATCGCCCGCAGCGAAGCCAGTAGAGCGGCGTATCCTCAGGATGCCGCGGGAGTTCTATGGCTGCGATGCAAAAACAATACCAAAAGCACTCAGTCAGTCTTGAGATTCTTGTGTGGCTTTTTCTTGAAATGTGTTCCTCTCAAATTGGTGACGGGTAATGAGGACAAATCTGATCTCATGCATACTATATGTGGATCAGACAAAATCAAGTGTATCCAGCTTACCCTGGTTTCCCAGAGCCTTCGATCTCCCGTCTCCCTCTCTCTAAATATTAATGTACTGAAGTTCAGGTCAAACTGGAAAACCACGTCAAGGTCACTTGTGCAATCTTGTGCATCAAGTCCTCTACGAAAAGCTGCAAGTCGAAAAGTCTCCTGCAGTTTGCCTTCAGTGGAAGAGATTGAAGGCCTCTTTGTCTACGATGACACCCGTATCGCCCACTGTGCCGCGTGACAAAATGTCTACACATGCCCAACCCTCGCACCTATGGGCCCAACTGCAATAACGGACACCTCTACTTAGCCCATGGTCCAAGAGCTCATCGGTTGGAACCTCGCGGAAGAATTCACCAAAGACAGTACAGTTGGCTCTTCGACAGCCACTGTGCCACTTTCCAACACAAGAGACCCTCAAGCTTTGAAGAGGTGTTGCCAGACCCAAGAGATTTCTCTTATACCTTCTCTGCCCCCACATGGACGGCCTGGCACCAGTGCTTCGCGTGAAACACCAAGCCCAGCGAAACACCAAGCTTTGACCGAAAAAGACACCAAGCAACCGCTTGAAGAGTGAAGTTCCACGCACCCAAGACCTGTCCGTGAAATGTTGCTTTTTCTTCTCAGGGTCAGGTCACCTGAATCAGGAAATCAGCTAAGCCTAAAGACATTGCATGTTGTATTTGGAAATTTGTATTGGCATAGTATAGTTGTAATATAGATGGTCCCAGGGGTCACAGGGGTCTATAAATCACCCGGATGGGCGTCGCCTGCAATTCTGCCAACCGTTCGCCATTCCCTCTTGTGCTGGGTCCACTGGACAGAAGAATGCTCCGTTAAAACGTCAAAGCACTGAGGTCCACGTCGAAGCTGCAAAAGACATACCCAAAGGTGGACGCTCAGGTCTCTATAGAGAAGTTGGACGCTCAGGACTCCATGCACATCAAGAATCCGTCGTTTGGGTCATTCGACGTTTCACAGAGTCGTCTTGCCTGAACATCGTCAAGGCAGCCCTTGTCGTGGGGGGCCATCAGGTATGACCTGCCAAGTGCTTCGATGCACTGTGAAATATATATATATATACGCATTCCACCATCTGAAATATTCGGCATACTCCCCACTACTACAACAAGTCTCACACTTCGCAACAAAATCGGAAGGTGCTGGAAAAAGAAAAAAGAAACAATCTCGAAGAACAAGTAGGTCCGAGTCTATCAATAGTTGTATCTTTGTGGAAAACGGCTTCCCTGTATTCACAGCTCTTCAAACGCCTACCCAACGATAAATTGTGATGTTGATGGATGGCTTCTTCATGCTACGAGCAAGCGCTCGTACGATGCCCAATTTCATCCAATTGCCATTATGGATGTCTGCTGCGACCGCAACCTGCTCCTCCCGCTCAATGGTCTGTATTCTGGCAACCCGAAAGCGATGGTGATTTGCACATGGATGATCTCTGTCTGCGCATCAGCTGCAGCAACCAATGGCATCAACTTGGAACAATGAACCTGCCATCCAAATTACATGGAAGTTCATGGACTGTATGTGAGGCCACCGGGCTGGGTATATATATATATATATACGAGTACCCCGAACAAGAACGCAAGAGCAGCAAGCATGTGGCAAACCAGCACTGATTTCAGCAACATGTTGTGGTCCATGGACCAATTCGTCCAACAAATTGGTAAGCGAAACATCGCGAAACCCAAACACCAAGACTTCCATCCCATTCCCATGGTCCATCCATCGACCTTCGACCTTCAACGAAGCGGAGCGAAGCACTCTCGACCTTCGACCTTCGACCGTCGGACCGTTCCGGTCAGGGAGAGAAAACAAAGGTTGGGCGGCGAGCACAGGGAGCACTGCGGCGCACTGCCAAGATGAGTCGGTTTTTGGTCGGGTTTGTTCGGTGTTTTGGATTCGGATTCTGTTTGGGATGCAACCAAACCAGGATTGAGACCCCTAGCAGCTATAGCACTTAATAGCTTTGTAAAATGAAGACCTCCAACAGCTGTTGGTTCCGCGAATACCCTGCAAAGAAGGGCCCCACAAACCTGGATCAACTGCCTCACACGACCCTGACACGAGGCAGCCCTGCCTACCCAAGTAGCGTACGAGGCACAGGTTGCATGGGCGATCTAGCCGCTATCTGGCCCTCACCTCTAAACCAGCGTCACTTGCTTCACTTTTACTTAACTTGTTAGCTATTCTTGTATCTTGTAAGTCCGACCAAAGACTACAAAATCCATCTTACTGTCCCACACTTTGGAGGGCCCAAGTATTGAAACCACCGAGCTGGTAGCAGCTTGCTAACAGGATCTACAGCTTCTCTTGTGGGCCCCAACTGCCGCTTCTGTTGCCTCAACTTTCTTCCGCCCGCCCTTTGAGCCAATGATTCTGAAATGAGGCGCTGGAGAGGTGGAGCAGTGCCACTCAAACCCGAAGATACAAACGGACTTTTGTGGTTGTGAACGCAGAAAGCACAGGGACTGGTCATAGTACCAGTGTTGGACATGAAGAATGAACATCAAAATTTCGAGACGTCAAAGCTCCCTTGATCACAATCCGTGTCTGGCCAAACCCAAATGACTCCAGCACTGCCAGGATAGACCCCGGAGCCCTGAATCCCGTCCAAAAAGCAACAGGCCTGACCAAATGACTAATCGAACCACAGGACAGCTCTGAGCTCAGTACATAGTTGCCAGCTGCACCCAAGCACGTGACCTTCCTGCCACCGGACACCCGCCACAGGACCCATGAACAAGGAAGAGGCCATGGACAAGGAAGAAAAGAGTGTTTCAGCTTTGAAACAACCCCACCTGAACAAACCCCAGAATTGATACCCAAAAATATATTGATGTATCACTCACTATGTCTCTATTTGCAGTGTTTCTCAGGTTTTCAGGTGAACAGTGTGAACATATGTGAACTGTTCACTATCACACATTCTCATTCCACAACGAATACAACATCCACTTCACTACCATTGATAATTGTATATACTGTAATTGATTATATATTTGATCATATTTGAGTATGTATACATCATCATTGGCATACTATTGTAACCTCTTAAGTCTTATTCGCCAGTCCTGGGCCATGTGATCGTGTTCTTTTGGGAAGGCCTGGGCGGCGTTCCGTCGGGTGGCAAGACAACAGAGGCTCCCGTGCCGAACGTGGAAGCGTCAGCCGAGGAAGTTCGCAACTGCCAACGAGCGGCAGTTTTTGGGGTGTCACCGAGGGTGAAGAAGGTGGGTAGCTAGTGATTACATGCAGTGCAATGACCCGGTCTTGCAAAGCTTGACATCGCCAATACTCCAAGACATATTAGTTGTCCAATGTTTTCCAAAGAATAGTTTAATTAATGTAGGGTGATAAACAAAACACCTCCATATGGAGAGGTTTCACAATTCTTTTTTTCGTGAATGCCTGAAGCCTACAGCCGTCCACAAGTACCTGGAAAAAACCATTGTTTAAGGCTCCAGCTGCTTGGTACTCAAGTTGTAGACCAGGCCAACGCTCTCCTGGCGCAGAACTCGGCCGCTGCGGCACAGAATCGTCGCTGCGGCCAGGATCCACTCTCGTTGTACACCCTGCTCTTCGAGAGAGGTCGATTCTGAAAATGCTTCTGCCTGCTTCTTGTTCCCTAAGACCAGTGCTGTCAGGTTCATTATAACATGTTATGTCATGTTGTCAGGTTCTTGTTATGTTATAACTCCCAGAACTGGAGACATTCGTGTTGACCAATGGTACTCTTCCAGAACACATATGATACCAGTCTACCCCAACCACAAGTGGTTGCTTGAAACGAACCCAGCCGCAGATTGATCTCTTAAAAGGCACTTGTCTTCTTCTTTGGATAGACTGCTAGACTATGATAGGCTCCGGTAACACCTGCTCCTCCTGTAGCGGATCCACAGCTGTCAGCACTTCACATCCACACGTGCGCATGGTGCGACATTCATCCGCCTGAATCAGGAGCAGCAACTCATTGCCTGTCGCAGTGTTGCCACACGGCCAAGCACCACGCCGGTTGCCCTTGCGCCATCAATTGTCCCTGAATTGATGAGTTGCTGCATGGTTCATAAGTGTTAAAATGGGGAACCTTGCACTGGTTGGTTTTAGAAACCTCAAAAGGAGCAAGTGGACCACGGGAGCTTCTGTTTCCTTCTTCTTCTTCTTCTTCTTCTTCTTCTTCCAGCGGCTAGCGGAAGCCAGGTGCAGGCAAGGGCGCTTGCAACGGGCGTCAACTCATATGATGGTTCGCAAAGAATCCCTGCATATAGATGCTGTGGAGTCCAACAATACACTGTACCCACACACCAATGTACTAGGGTACTATGGTACTCATTGTTAATTACACTATGATTATTTTTTTGTTACACTATTGGTACTCCTATGATGGTTCCTTTTTCCAGGGACCCCCCACCGTTCCGGTTTCAGTGTCGTTGAAAGGTCCGCCTGGGAGCACTGCAATCCGTGGCACGTGCTTCCCGTCGAGGGGGCACAACTCTTCGAAGGAGAGGCCCGTCCTGGTCGAAGCGGTTTCCGGTGGAAAGAGCGGGTTCATGATGTTCAAAAAAAGCAGGGGAGCCACATGCGGAAGAGAATGATACAGTAGATGATAGACTATGACATGTTCCTGCGGGATCGAAAAAGATAATAACGTCCAAGCTGCAGTGGAGCTGAGTGATGTTGAGTGGGCGGCATGAATCTGTGCGATGAGTGGCATTCGTCCCAGCGGGAGGTCCGAAGCGACGGCCGAGGACCCGGCATTACACTTGGAAGCACAAGAAGCTACCAAAGTAACAAGTGCATCGCTTCTAGTAACAAGTGCCTTACTAGTAGTAACAAGTGCCTTACTAGTAGTAACAAGAAGCTACTAGGAACAAGTGCATCGCTACTAGGAACAAGTGCCTTACTAGTAGATATTTAGAGATTGAGGCAATGATCACTTGAGAATGGTTGCGCACATTTTTACCCAGCAGTTGCGACTCAGGTTAGGTGAAGCGCGCCACCACGCAGGTCACGTTGTCTTGCCTTAGTCGAATCAAAAATAGGTTGATGCTTCTGGACCTGCTGAGCCTCCAAAACTGGATCCGGTCTGCCTAGCTTCACCGCACCCAGCCAGCTGAGGCATGAGATAGAAGCACAAACTTCTTGTTACTAGTAGCGATGGCCTCCAACCTAATAACGATGGCCTCCACCTAGTAGCTTCTTGTTGGAAACTCAGAACCTAAAGGTTCGACTGGATTCATCGCTAGTTCCCCCTCGTTCATGTGCATCTGGCAGTGACAGCTAATGTGCATGCAGGTTCTTAGGGTTTCCCAATGATGGAGAAAGAGAGCCTGATTCCCATCACCCATCACCGAATGGGCCCACTAGCCAATAACTCGTTCAGACACTCTCGCCCGGCCCCTTTGGGGGTTCGTGACAGCTCCGTTGAAACCACACTTGAGGTGACATGGCGTGAAAGGGGGACGGAAGTCGACTGTGTTTCTCCAGATAGGCTGCTGAATAGATCATCTTGGATTTAGAAGAAATTGATCCCTGGAGTCACTCTATCGGGGCTCCACTTCGTTCGCAAAGATTGATGACTTGGATAAGTCTCCTTCACTAAGACGAGAGCTGAATTGATCTTCCAGCTGACAGTCTGGACAGTCCGGACAGACTACCCACTCCTCTCCACCGCCACCGCCGGCGGCTCCTCCGCCCAGGCACTGTCTCGGATCCGCCAAGGCGGCCTTCACGATGCTCCGCGCCGCTGCTTCGCAGGTGCTACCGTTGGAGCCGCTCGCACCGGTCACCAGCCTGAGAGCGCTGGTAGACGAACATGGAATCACCGGGCTTTTGAAGTGAGTGATCTGCAAAACCTATCATGCATATTATCATATCTAGTTGGCTGCACAGTGGTTTGTCTTGAAATCAGGTCTTTATCTCAACATGGCTGTCACTTCAACCCATACGCCGTACCCTGTGCAGCCGTGGGGTCTTGGACTCGCCACCCCAAGGTCGCTAAGAGTGGGCTGGGCTGGTGGCGCATTCGAGCCATGAAGATGTGGAAGATCATGATGAATATCAAACAGCTTGAACCCATGCTACTCCCTGTCTCCACCCATAGCCATACCCAACATATATACCTGGATCTTCAAAACGGCACAAATCTTTTCAAGCAAAATGCCGTTACGGCGTCTTTAGGCATCCACACGGCGTCTTTCCCGGTCTAATGGATTTTGAGCGCATGCTTGCAACCGCGAAAACGGCATGTTTTGTTTTTGATTTGTGGCGTTTTTCCACTGGAAAATGCATACGGCAAAATTTTGTGCCGTTTGAAGATACAGGAACACACACTTGCTTGGAAGCTGAAAACAAGGGGTTCGCAAGTCCTCCACTCGACCAGTTTAAGGTCTACTATGCTGCTCACTCCGTACAAACACTACAAACAACCACGTCGGCTGCGAGTCAACCACCGTCACAGGTTCATTCGTCGACTCATCAAAGTGGGCCTCGATCTCGGAGTCTACATAAGTCACATTAGTCTGTGCAGGTGCAATCTTTGAAGAACTCAAAACAGGACTCAAAGTCCTGCTGCCATAATCCAACGCTGAAATTGAGCGCTGAGTCAGCCAAAGCACATCGCCACCTGCCCATCAAGATCAAAACGTGTGAAAAAAATCGCCCAATTGCCTCTGTTTAAACATCGCCACACAGCAGCATGGCAAACATATGGGTGTTGCAATCCCCAAGAAATAGTCTTCGAATCTGCCTTTGAATATCGCATGTCGTGACCCTGACCGCCATATCAACTTATCACGTGACAATCTTCAGTGTACAGGCACTTGTGAAAACGCTTCTGGGTTTAAACATTCCGACTCCACGCAAGCTTACTGTTGATGGGCGTTCCCGGGATGATGGGAGTGGATGCAGGATCGGCGTTCGGTCTATGGCCCCGGAACTTGGAACGGACGGGTCAGAGCCAATTCTTACAGTGAGCTCCAAACGAATCTGTTGGGGATCGGCTGTGATGAGCTCTGCCCCATCACCGTGAAGCAAAAGAGAGGAATTCCCTTGCATGATGAGAGCATTCTTTTCTTTCAAAAGCCTTTCCCGGCTGTGTTGGGTAAGTTCATACAAAACAGATCCTCCTTCAAATGGTTGTTGATGGGTTTATACTGTGTATATGCAATTAACACCATCCATTCATCCATCCATCCATCCATCCATCCATCCATCATTCCATCCATACGTACATGTACATGTACATGTACATATGTATATATATATATGTATTTATCTGTATACACACAAACATACACACCTACCTACCTACATACATACCTACCTACCTACATACATGCATACCATGTACTACAAACCTTACATGCATACATGCATACATACATGCATGCATACATACCTACCTACATACAAACAAACATACATACCAACAAATATACATTACATATATACCATGCACGACATGCAGGACATGCAGGACATGCATACATGCATCCATCCATGCAAATCTACAAACAGGCGGCTGCCAGGTTGGAGAAAATCTACAAGGACCCACAGCATTATATTCACGAGAAGCCAGTCCGCCGTGCGGGCCACAGCACCAAACAATACAAGAAGCGACTCATCAACCAATGCAAGCTCCCTTGGCAGCCCAACAAACACCAGCGGGCACCACACCGGAGTGGCTATCAATGCCACACGTGCCACACCAGAGTCCACCAAGGTCTCACTGTGGAGGTCATTGAGCAGCACCTTCAGCAAGACTGCGACCTCTTGGCACATGAGGCACCAGAGCCGGACCTTCGACCCAACAGGCCTGTGGGACAAAAACTCACCCGGGCCAGCACCATCAAACAACTGATGGAAGTGCAGCAACGGCACCCGCAGGCAGCAGATGAGCACACTTATATGGAGACAACAGGTTATCTCAAATGCACGAAGTGCAGCCTGTCCATCCACAAAAGAACCAATGAAGGAAGTTTCCAGGCTTTCCTCAACAGCCGCTGCATTGATGAGAGCTATGAGAAGGCTCATGAGGGCCTCACCACACATGCACTGTGGCAAAAGGGCAAAGGCATCAAGTGCCTCAATTGTGGCACACAGAGTCATCTGGACTCAGAAGACCGGCTGATCATGACCAAGGCTCTCAAGAAACCTTGCCAAGGCACCACACAGAAATCGCCCACACTTCTGCAGCTTTTCGGCACCCAGAGCCAAAGCTGTCAGCTTCCAGGCAGCCATGCACCGACTGCCACAAACACCGGCCATGAGACCCAGCCGCCTTTAGGCACAACAGAGCCCGCCTCAGATTCTCTGAGGACCATGTCACCTCCAGCACCCAAAAAGCTCCGGTTCTCACCGCAGCCGAGGAGCACCAGGGACCACAATACAAACAGCCCACAAGAGCAGGGCGAGGAGGAAACAAATAGCATGGACGACCCTTGCATGGAGGTCGACTTCTTCTGAGATGACCGGGGCGCTCCCTGAGGCCAAAACGGCCACCGCAAGCACCAAACAACTTCAGGAGAAAAAAAAATGCATCCATCCATCCATCCATCCATCCATCCATGCATCCATGCATGCATCCATCCATCCATCCATACATACCTACGTAAGTACGTACATACATACCTTACGTTACGTTACGTTACGTTACGTTACGTTACGTTACGTTACAATACATACTTACTTACTTACATACATACATACATACATACATTGCATACATACCAACGTACATACCAACGTACGTACCATACCAAACCATACCATACATAGATCCATACATGCATACATAGATAGGTGCTTACATGCATAAATCAGCACATGATCACATGTTCCACATTCTACTATTGAAAACTAACATTCCATTCGATGTAACTCCATTCCACTGCACTCCACTACAAACAAACATACATACATTCATTTATACATATACATATATATATACATACATACATACTTACTTACATACTTACATATATACATACATCCATGCATGCCTGCATGCCTGCCTGCCTGCATGCATACTTACAGAACAGTACATTACATTAATATATCCATACACTGCATACATTACGTTACAGTACAGCACCGTAAATTATGATACATTACGGTCTATTTCATTACATTCCATTGCCCCGAATGAATCTCCATGCAGAAATATGTTCCTTCCGTTTCGTCGTTTCGCCGCTCTTTCTGGGCCTGCCGACAGCTCGTGCAAAGGGATGGATTTGAGATGCCGTGCCAAAATGGTAATTGGTGTGGTCAGGGTTCGGGGGCTATTGTTTATCTATACCGAATTTCCTCTTATATATAAGTGTTTGCTCAACAGTTTGCAGATGGCTGCTACTCGTCCTTTTTTTGCACAGGTGGAAATCGTCCAAATCGTGTGCGGACTCATCGCAATCCGGGCATAGTTCCACCACGTTCAAACCAATTTTACTTTCAGTGTACCTGCGTGGTGCACCCCCCATGCCCCAGGCTACCAACTAATCAGACACTTTCAGTAGCTGATACGGTCCAGCCTAGCTCTGAGTTAGGCATCCTTCACCACCACTCAGCTGGTCATCCCCAGCAAAGCACCGCGGGTCACCAACTCGAAATCACCAATTCCCTTAAATGCACTACTACAGTACATACATTCATACACAACCCAACGTAACGTTTGTAACGCAACGTAACTTAACATTACATTGTATTGTATTACATTAAAATTCCTTTAATACACCGATACACCCAACCAATACAATACCATTGCAATGATTGCATTGCTTTGATTGCTTTGCATTGGTTTATTGCATTGCACTACATTGCAACATGCATACCATACCGTACAATTACATACCCTTACACTTACATACATCACATCACATCACAGCACATCGCATCATCACATCACATCACATGTCATACATGCACGCATTACATTAATATGTACATACATACGTACACATATCAATAGTATACATTACATTACATTACATTACATTACATTACATTATGTTACTACATTACATTACATGAAGTTACATTACATTGCATTACATCACATTACATTCATACATCCATATGGATGCATACATACGTATATTACCTTACATACATGTATGATCAGTTATGATATTGCATACATTACATATATTACTTTAATACATTGCATACCTGCATACATACCTACCATACATTACATACGTAGATACCATTACATTGCATTGCATTATATACATTACTTTACTTTACAAACAATAAAAATAAAACATACATTGACGTAGATGGCACAACATTACATTATATTACAATATATTACATACATGTTAACCAAGTGAGCCATTACAACGAGACTGAGGATCCTCAGGGTTCACAGCTCTCCGTCTTCAGGTGACTCATGGATGCTTTGGGCCACCGACTCAACGGGTTCGTTGGGGTCACCGACGGGTACCGACCGCATGTGTCGAAGACTGGCCTTGCTACTGCTGAGCACGTCGAAGACTCCGTCACAGGCCAGGACAATGGCATCCCCGCTTTCGCACTCGAATTCCTGGCCGGGAGTAACTCAGATTCCAAGAGAGAGACTCTGCACCAATGGGTTTCAACTCTGCAGGACTTGAAGAATCTAACATCAATTCTGGAAAATCTGCATTCATTGTTGACAATAAACTTGAGATTGGCACGCGCACTGTGCCAAACAAAGTTGATTTATGGCCATCTCAGCCCGCCGAGAGGACATGCGTTACACTAATGTCTTAAATTCTTCACTCTGAAGGCCGTTCATTGTTCTGCGTGCCTGTCATACCTTTCTGACAGTTGGATCATGGATCTAGAGCACCATTCAACAGTGGGATCTCGGCTCGTCCGGCATTATCTGGTCAAGCGCTGGGATCCGGGATCTCGTCTGCTTCGGGTTCTGCGATACTATCTGGCTCCAACTCAGCCATCGACTTGACCATCAAAGGTAACAACGAAAGCCTGCCAAGCTATACCATCTATCCCACCGTGTTCTTTTGTGGTGGCATGCCCGTTCCACACTCCCATGAACTGGGTCAGGGTGAAGACCTGGTGGCACCTTGAAACCCAGACACCAATGGGACTGCCATCTTTGCCGATATCGAGGTGCGCTTCGGTCTTTCGGCGTGGCGGGTGGCCGGACTCGGACCTCCGGAGAACTCGGAAGCCCCTCACTCCGCGGCAACCCCCAAAACCGGCAGATTCCGAGACTCGTAAACTTCCGGCACAGCAGAGACCTGCGCGGGAGATCCCGGGGCGGTCGGAGAGTGAGTCCGGGCACCTGGGTGAGTCTGGGCTTGATTAAGGGATGGAACATGATTGACATCGGCCCAAAATAGGTCACCAACCCCCAGAGAGTTGCTCGATTCAATTTCACGAACTGTATGATGTAGAGATCCATGAGAGATCATTGAGGAGGTTCACCCTGCAAATTTCCAGCCACCTTGCATCCTGGTGGCACTCCAATGGCAGCACATCCCCCAAAGTCCTCCCTCCCACTGCCTTTTGCTGCTCCGGTAGCAGGGCAGCATCCTCCTTGAAGCGGAAATCCCCAAGCGCCCTTGAGCAGCCCAAAAAGCCTCAGGCACTGCAGCTTTCTCGGCAGCGATGCAGCGGGGCCCGGCAATCAGAACACTATTGCAATTGCAAAGGGCATTTGGCATAGATTTTGCCAACACGGCCATGATTTAGGATCCTCGATCGTAGAAGACCTTCAATTCTGCATGGGATGTTCTTGTTTTTCTATGTGTAGATTATATATATATATATGTTATCTATGTTTATATGTTCAACATTGTTCAACACTGTCATGTGGTGCACATTGAGGCTCAATGACCTCACTACTGGATGCTCCGTCCGACCTCCGGCCAAGGCACCATCGACCCGCAGCACCGGGACACGGCTTCCAGGGAAAGTTTCCACCTGCATGCGGAAGCCGCATCTTTTGAGAGTCCTGCCTTCAGCTATGGCAGGGCGCATGAACTGAACAACTTTCTTTGACTGCTGGCAAGGGCCCCTTGTGGTTCACGAAAGTGAAAGTGCCGACTGCTTACCTTCGATGCTAGCTGGTGGAGTGGCACCATGGGACCACCTGGCCTGCCAACGGAATGAAACAAGTTTTGAGATCCAAGTGTCTCAAACGGGAGAAGGGAGGAAGGAATAAGAAGGAACTCTGAGATGACCCATCGGTGTAGCAAAACTGCCAAGGCTGCTTGAGGCTTTCATGAAACCATCGCAGGGACCAGCTTTCTGGACTTCGACCGCAGCTTTCAGGCCCAGTTGGTCCGGGATCAAAGCCAAAGCATGGTTGGTGGTCGATGGTCACATGGACCAGACCCACTTCGTCATAGAGATGAAGCTTTTCCCTGGTCATAGACATGGTGGTCATAGACATGGAAAGTGGCCAGATTCATCTACTACGATTTTGCATGTCTATAGGGGGTCATGACCAGTAGGGTACACAGGAGTATGGTCAGGCTGCGACTTGATGGGAAGAAAGTGTCTTGCTCGTCGAGTGTGCTCTGCAAATTTTAGGAGTCTTCATCGAGATTTATCAAGCATTCATGTCCCTGAGCATGGAAAGAACATGAAAGAATGTGCTGCAAATAGTGAATTTGAATAAAAGCCTCAAGTGCAGACCCTTCTTGGCTTGTGGACAACTCGCTCTCTCTCTCTCTCGTTTGTATCAGTGTGATCACTTCCCTGGTGGTTAATCATGGCTCCTGCCGAAGAAGCTTTCCACTCTTATGAATCTCGTATACCCTGGTCTGCCCTGGATACCTAACAACATCTGGAGGCCCTGAGGCCCCTCAGACCAACCTGGATGTGCAGGGCACTACCCCGAGGGCAAGTTCAACAGGTGGTATATCTCAGGTGACTGTGTGTGAGCAGTCTTCTAGAGCCGGGCGCGCACGCCTTCCCGCCGGCCGCTTTGATCCGCTTCTCCTCCTCCGGTGCGCTGGGGGTGTGGTCTTTCGTCTCGCCCGCCACCTCATAGCCTAGCTGAATCAGGTCATGCGGAGAGACACGGCACAGTGAGATCGCCCGCTACTTCAGCACGACCTGATCTGACTATATAGATCCCTTTGTTGCATCACCTGCAATGAACTGTAGAAGCTGGAGTACATCACTCGGCAATTTTCGAACAGGACCCTTCGGCTGGACTGAGATTCCAAAAATGCTGCTTCTGGTTCTGGACACCTACAGCCGAAACACGAAACACCTCTGAAGGGTCTTGGTACCGTGTAACACTGTGTAGACCAAAACATACAAACCTTACCATAATATAACATATTATAACTTCAAGACTCCTCGGTATCATGTGTCGCATCAAGCCAGGATGTTTATATACTCAGCATCTCCTGGGTGTTCCTGCGAATGTCCATGTGAGTTGCAGTGGACCTGCTCCTTGAGCAATGTGTTGCTCATCTTGAAGAAGTACGTATCTGGTCTGGATCTCCTGGCTATCCTTCTGGTAGCCGACTTAAGGGCCGGAGTTTGAAACACAACACGATGCCATGTAAACTCGAAAAACAATAAATACTGAAGCTACTGATATCGACTAATAGTCTATACCTAGGAACTCCTGTAGTCTATATGTTCAGCCTGCCTGAGGCTGCTTTTTCCGCCCGAGTGGTTTCTAGAAGAAATCCTGAGCAGCAGACATTTTCTGCCTGAGGCTGCTTTTTCCGCCCGCGGCGGCAGATAGTCTGCACGGAATGGTTGTTCCTTCAGTCTATGCCCTTTATTCCAGCCCAAATAAAAATCATGTTGAACATTGATTACAAAGAATTTAGAATCCTCCTCCTCCTCCTCGTTTTTGATTAGTTGCAACTTCTGATGACACGCAGTTTGTAACACTGGTTGATAGTCCAAACCAAACAGTGCGAATCTAATTTCTAGGTTGCACACAAGAACCGCTTGAGAACAAGAACCGCAAGCAAAAGCGCACCTCCCTAGGCCCTAAACTCTCTTTCTCTCCCATAGCTAGGGTCTGCGCTCACGGAATGTGAGAACAAGCACAGTCTAACAAAAATGACCTCTATACGACCTCGCACTCCATGATCGGATCATCGATTCGAGTGCACTTGGAGTGATTCGGAGTTTACGGGAGCCCCACGCGACCCATTGAATCTGAATGGAGCCGAGCAACCATTGGCCGTAGACTTCCTGTAAACAGGCGGCAAATGGCAGCTGCAGGCTGGGTTGTGTTCTTGTGAGTAACAGAAAAAAATAAATATATATATATATATATTATGAAAATATCATAAAATGTCCGTTGTCGTAAAGCACCTACCCACTCCGTACAGTAGCTTCAATGTTATTCCTACAATGCCAACGCTGCAGTTTCTCCAGCTGTAAGTCTACATGCAGCTAGGTGTCAGAATCAGCGCACGCCTTGCATGGGCCCATGCGGGTGAGGGCTGGTCGGAGGGCAAGTAAGTTTACATGGCAACACCATCTCCACTACGTCCTCTTACAGTAATAGGAAGGTCAGGACATCTGGGTTGAAAAAATAATTACAACCATACAAAAATGGGCCTTAAACCGTGGACCAGTGCAAAAAAGGGGATGCATCTGGGGCTTGTGTCAACTGAAGCGACAACCCACGCTGCAGGGATTGGGCCAATTGGGCCTGGCCTTACGCTGCAACCCACGGGTGGTCGGGGTGAGTGCGATTCAATAATCCAAATCCTTCAAGGGCTTCACGATAAGGTTTGCTGAAGTAACCATCACGGAACACAAAGCACGTTTTGAAAATCCTTGAAGACAATGACCTTCCGACCATGCATGGAAAAGGTAGTGCGTGGGGGACGTTTTGCATTCAGTAGGCTTCCAGGCACTCACATAGGTAGAAGCCCTGGAGCTGGACCGAGGCTGGGCGGCTGGCCCAAACTCCAAACCCAATGCATTCGACCTTCTCCAGTCAGAAACAACACCGAGGACAATTCTGGCACCATGCAAATAGATTGTCTATGGAACTCTGCTGATTTCATCGCCCCTTTCTGGGATCACGACTATAGTAATTGTAGAAGTAAGTATGCAGCATTATGGATATAGAAGCACCCAGCAGGACCCCGAATACCACGTCCCGAAGACAACCACGGTCCCGTCTCCTGGATCTCTCCGCTCCGAAGCTCATCTCCGCCAAGCTACGAGTCGCCCAGGTTGGCAAGAAGCACCCCAATCTTTCCCGGCTTCTCCTGGAAAAAGTCCCCGCGTGCGACATTTGACGCAGAGATTGCCCAGCGAATTGGCTTGAGAAAGAGTTCTCTCCAATTGCAGTAGTTGATTGTTTTAGAGAGAGAGAGAGGGAGTCAACCATGTCTTTATTGGATGATGGTCTTGGCCTGGCGAATCTGATTCCCAGGGGCAAGTAGCTGACACGAACAGTCCGCTCGTGTATCCGATATTGGATGATGGTCAAGCAGTAAATTGTCGGGCGGTGGCGACGACGGTCAGGTCAGTTCCAGATCTGAAAGTTGTGCAACAAGTTTTGGCCGACAGTCAACAACCAAAGTAGCAAATGTTCATATGAGTACGAAGAGATCTTGATCGAGTGTCAAGCTGTGTTGAGTTTGCTGTGGTGAATTTTGTGAGTGATGGATGCTGCTGCGTTTTTAGATGTGTTGTTCTTTCAACTGGGACATTGATATGTATTCGTCTATGGAGAATATTCAAAGGCAGTCCTTCAGTCATGGACGCTTAAGTCCAAGAAACCTCACTGCTTGAAATCTGAGCTTACCATCTGACAACATAATATTGTAGACTCGTGATTAATATACCTGCCCCATGTGGATGAACGGACTTGCGGACTGTCGGATCAGACGCGCTTCCACGCTCTCCCTTGCTATATTGTATAGCTGCCCCATGTGGACAGAAAAAAAAAAAACAAAACTCTTCATATGGGGGATTTATTAATCAAGAGTCTACGTTATCTCGAAGTTTACCACACCCTTTCACAGTGTGACCCATGAACAACCCATGGCTACACTGCCCGGCACACATCGAGTAGGCACTTTCCATGGATAGGTGGTACACACCGAAGACTTCCCATCCTCATCTTTCCAAGCATAGGCGAACACGCAGGTGGTGCCACCTCATGGATTTGGCCAGAAACGGCGGGACTGGTGGGAATGCACAAAAACTAATTTTTTTGATCCAAGCTCTCCAAAATGTCCAAATAAATAAGTAAGACTTGTCTGGCGGCTAGTGATTTCACCCCTGATGGTAATTCTACAATTAATACACAGTCTATCATAATCTATCTATACAAACATGCAAGATTCCGATTTATATAGGATTTCAACAGCCCCACCATTAAGCTAGCCGTTCTGTGGCTCACTTTAGGTGTTGAGATGGATATGAGGCAAAACCTGTGTGGGCTCCTTTTTGCACAGAACAAACATCATCTACATGCAAGCAACGCGCCGCCACCTAGACTTTTAAACCCATTTCTTTCAAGGTGAACACCATATCTCATCGTTTCTGAGTACCCCTCCATGATGTTGCCTTTCAAACGCCTTTCAAACGCCTTTACCCTGCAGTTCGTGTCCATGTTGGCACGTTTGACCTCATCCGTCCATCCTTCGGTCCGGGGGTCACTCCCGCGCGGCAAAGCCCAACTTGATGCGCAAATGTCGATCCAGTGCCTGGGACGTCGAGCACCACCGACCCGGCGAAGTGCGAGAAGTGCCGGGACTGGTCCAGATGATCACCGCGAGACACCGGACTGATGTGTAGACATGTGCGATTCCATGTGTAGACATCTGTAGCTGCACTTGACCTAGAGATACCTAGAGGTTCTTTGGTTGTGTGGACATGTGTGCAAGATAGTCTAGTCCGGTCTAGTCTAGATTGATCTGATGGAAGACCCCTTTGAACGTTTGGGTTTGGTTGTGATGGAACACCAATCGAGGGGTCAGCCAGCCAACGATGATGCTTTGGACGATTGCTCACCAACAGCTGGCTCCCCTCTATAAGTCATCAAACTCAAAAACCCTCGTGGCTGGGCAGGTTAAATTTGGAAGGGTCGCAATTACGTATGTTTGGAATACAGGGTCACAAAACTCATTGGTGTGGGCCAGCTGCACAGTCACCACCGAAACACGCGTCGATCATCATGGATCCATCTTCACTCTGTACTTCCGTCACCCAGAAAAAGAAGAATACAATGTATCCCCCGTCGGTCCTTCCGTCCGTTTCCCTCCGAGCTGCCAGGTAGGTGCCCTGCACCGCGCTCCGCCGCGCCTCCGGCGAGTCGCGGCCGGAGGCATCCAACTCCTGGGGGCAAAGCGGCCAACGACCGGGTGAGAGCAAAGCGGCCAACAAGTGCTGCAGACAAGTCCAAGTCACGTATTTTTGCGATGTGTTTGAAGAAATCACACTCTGAGCTGGAGTTATATGTGTTATGTTGCTTTTGCGGTTCTTCCATTCGGAAATAGAGAGGATAAGTCTAAGTACGCAATTCCGATGAATTCCAGCGGCAAGCGAGAGTGAATGAAATGGTTCTGGAATGACAAATTGGTTATTAAACCGGACTCTACCACTTGACTTGTCATATCTGCTGATGGACCAACACCACAGCTGCAAAATGACCAGGTCTGCTCCGGCTGAGAGGTAGACCAAAAACACTGGATTCAATTTCTTTGTGGGGCGATGAGAGATAACACAAGGACTGTGTCAACCTCAATTGAAGTTGTTGTTTTCTTCATCACGACCTACGTTTAGGCTACCAAAAGCAACACAAATTTAAACACATGCAATTTTTAAGTGGCATAAACAAAGCGAAACAAGCAAAAAAAGGCGTGGTGAGAAAAATGCAAGCACACAAAATGGTTTCCTTCAGCTGCTGGGGTAATCTACTTGGTAGGCAGTAACTCACTTGTTGGACTGGTGTGATCGACCCCCAAATAGGTGACTGATGTAAGAAAGTATAAACGTTTTACGCTGTCCTCGCTGCTCTCCTTGCATTCCAAAATGAAGACACAAACGTCAGTCGAATTTCATCCAATCATCCAGCAAGGTGATACTAGGTGGAGGCCATTTTCTATTAGGTTGGAGGCCATCGCTACGAATGGAGCAAGAAGCTACTAGCTCACGTGCCCCTCCACCACCCCCGCCCGCCTCGCGGATCTCCGTGGGGATCCGCTCCGCACAGGCGCGCGCGGCCGCGGCGCCCCCATGGCCATCGAAGACGGCGAAAAGGCAGTCGCAGCGGAGGTCCTCCCGAGTGGAGAGGTGGTTTTCTCGACGAGGGGAGCTTGCCTCGAAAAAGGGGTTGGTGTGCACTGAGGTTGCCCCTTTTCAAGTGTGTGTTTTCTGTTTTGGTGTGTTTTGCAAGTGTTTTCATTGGGAAGCCAGGTGTGTTTTCTGTTTCTCTCGCCGGCTTCCTGGAGGCACCCCACCCACTTGCCCACGCCCAAATCACCTCACCCCTGCGCACGCGAGGTCGAGCACGCGAGTGTCGACCGTCGCACACTTGCGGGACTCCATGGGAGTGGTTCCCAGGAGGGGACGCAGTCTGTCCAACACTTTGTCAAAGGATGTCAAAGGATGTGCAGCAAGGAAGCTTCCGAGTATATTTCGCGCCTGAAATTTCCTGTGGAGATATTGAACGCCTGAAGCCTTGGGACGACCTGACACTTTGAAGATCTGTAAGTTTGTTCATGTCTTCATGGCAAAGGTTTCAATACACTCTGCGAATCCGTTCATAACATGTCATCGAAGGATGTGTGAACAAGGAAAAGACCAAAGCGCAGAAATGTCTTCACAAAGCTGAGATTGCCTTTGGAGATTTTCGCGACCTGACACCTTGGGAGAGTGTGTGTGTGTGTGTGCAGCCATTGTGGAGAAGGCTTCCTAGTGCCACATGCGCGTGTACAAGCGAGTGCTATGCTTCGACCCAACGACAGCTCCTCAGGTTTCTCCACCGCCGGCAAGGAAGGTCCACTCACCAGCTCCGGGAGGTCGTCGAACAAGCCCGGCAGCCCAGCAGCCTTGATGTTGGGCGCCGGCCCTGAAAGGTTCGATACAGCGAAAAGGAAGGCGAAAAGGACAAGCCGCACCTCATTAAGCTCAAAAGACTCCGAGAATGGTGCAGAATTATGGCAAGATTATGGCTTGAGACTGGCGAAAGGGAGCCAGAACAATCAATCTTAATCTTGCGAGGCCTCAGCGTCCTCACGCTTTCCCTGAGTCCAGCGCACATCATGGTGACCAAAAAGAAGGACAGCAGAATAACACGGAAAAGAAGGATTGACCCAAATATGCAAGGAACCAGGCTTGCCAACTCTGGGTTCTAGCCCTATACATAGTGGCAACCGGATGCAATTTACTGGGATGGACCATCTGCCACAGCCTAGACCCAATCCTCGCCTTCAGGTAGACCATTGCAAATCATCACCTTGGCTCAAGATATGGAACAAAAACAAAATTGCATGTGGCGCTGAAGCTACATATCCATGAGGATGATTACACATTAATTCAAGAGAAGGTGGCTATCTGCATGGAGTCATCAATTGGGATCAAATTTGTCAAACTCAGGGCTTACTTCTGGCATGGTGCTAGAAGCGCTTGGTTTTTGAAGAATCTGGGCCATGGGCTTTCATGAAATTGGGATTCGAAGTTGCGGCCAGAAGAAGCGCACTGCGTTTTCCACTTGGGCCGGATGGTGGTGCATTTGTGGAATTCTGACCCACGGGTTGTCAGTGGCAATTTGGGCGCTCAACTGACCAACCGCTGCTTTTCTGTCTGTATCTTTCTATGTTGAGGCGTTGAGGCGCTTGTTTTCAGATTTTGAGCCTTAATTATTTGTGATTGACCGTTTCACATTAAATGTTTTTTCGGTATCGAAGAAACAAGGTACATCCAAAGAAACATAGCAGCACAAAGGCAATGAAACACCACTGAAACACACACACACACAAAACAAAAGCAAGTTCCACTCAACAAACAACAAACCACTGAAAACAAAAGTGCAATTTAATGTTGTGTGTTTTATACGTTATATTAGAAAAAGAAAACATAACAATCAAATCCAACGACCCAAGGGTGGCCCCAAAACGGCACTGAGCTTCAATCCTCCAGGTCACATGCACATCTTCATTTTGTGGCCTTGGGCCCTGTGCACTACATGCCGCGCTGCTCGCCCAAGGCCCCTCTGCTTTGTCCAGCGCAATGGCACTGCCGCCCGCCATGGCCATCTACGAAGGATCTTGGATTTCTATAGATTTTGCTGGTGTTGGTCAACACAAAGTCGCACGTTACGGTACGATCGGTACTTTTTCGTTCTGTTCGAAGACCCGAGGAGATGCGTCGGCTTATCCCGACAGGTCCACTGGCTTGTCAAACACCGACAGTTCCGGGGTGGACGGACCACCACATGGACCAGGACAACTCGATTGAGGGTCAAAGCAAAACAGTTTTTACTCGCTGGGAGAAGGCCGGACTTCCTCCTCTGAAACGTCGGAAACTCGACTTTAAAAAATCTATTGGTCGGAGTCAGTCTATTGGTCTGGATCGGCTGCCTGCAGTAATGGGACTTGTCTTTTTTGGGGGGACCGCTCTCCAACCTACTAGCAATGGCCTCCAACCTAATAACAAACATTAGCAAAGTATATCAGAGTCAGAGTATGTTAGAGTCATTGCATTGATGTCAATTGTGCCTTTGCCACACAGGTTGCACATGTGCCAGCCAGTATCAATGATGGAATCCGCCCTCTGTGCTCATGTGTCCGCCTGAATCTCGAGCAAAGAATCAGCTGCCAGTGGGATGCGGATCTTGGCTTAGCCTGGAAAAATGTGATTCTTGGTCTACCACAAGCCAGCTTTGGAGAAACATCTGGCAGGTGAAAACGATTTCACCACACCAGACCGGGGCGACTGACACAGGCGGTTTCCTCGCCGCCAGGACCGAAGTAGATCCGGCTCGTCGATGAAATCACGTCCTTTCGGAGTAGAGCTTGTATTCCCGGCCTGGGCAAGCAGGTGACGAAGGTTTTCGGACTGATCTCCCGGGGTTTTCCTGATCTTCGAAAACTGCCGGGAGAGAACGAGGCCTTATCATATCGAGGAATATGGTGTCTGCACGTCTTGTCTTGTATTGTTCATGACCAGTGGTAAAGGTGGAAGAACTGGTTGCTTCCAGATTGGAGACCACAAAATTGTTTTTCTGTCTTGGGAGCCCAGGGTGGACTCAAGAATGTAAAGTTGTCTTAGTAGGCGATCTGCGCGGCAGCCCTGCTGAAGGAAGAGATTCTGCACCAGGGTGTGTATCAACGCACTAGAACAGTGCAAAACGTCCTCCTAGTCGTAGCAGGAGTCACCAATGCTTGAGCTACGAAGTCTTGTAGCGAGAGATCCTTTCCTCATCAGGCATCTTACGAACCCCAGCAAATTCGATACCCTAGCAAGTCTTTAGAACTACCTTCAGCAAGCAGTTGATCGGGAAACGGCCGCATCAGGCTGCAGCTTCAAAGGTCTTACAACAGCGGAAGCTGTATCGCTTAAATGCTGTTCTGTTTTCTTTCCACCGCCATCCAGCAACAGCGTTCCCTTTTTGGCGGGCGCGCGACACCAGCAACGCTCCCTGTGCTTCGAGGGGCGGAAGCCAGCGCAAATCAAGGATTGATGCCAAACCAACGCTGACGCGGCCTACGGCTTCGTGGGACGGGGCCGAAGAAGAACACGGAGACGGCGGCCGTGTTTGCACGTCTTGTTCAGCGCGACCCGTGGACCGGTGACCGGAACAGAAGTTGTTGGTAGAAAGTCCTCGTGTCAAGTCTGCAAAAGCCTTCCAAAGAATTCCGGTGGACCACTTAACCTCTATATATATAATATACTGGCTTGAGCCTTACAACTCTTCCCAAAGCCCCCACCCTGCCTCCAGGGCTCTAAAGCTTACTAAAACCTCGAGCCAGAACTAGAGCCACTATCCTCTGGCAACACATCCCGCTGCTGGTGTCTGAAAGTGCTCAAAGGAAACATGATGCTGAACTACCCCCAAACTATACCAAACTGGCTGGTCAAAGGACCATTGGATTGGGGGCTAATGATGGCGACTCAATTAAAGATGTATTTATACAAAGGTTATAAGATGTTATAAGCATAATAAATGGGGCCAGAGCTACATGTTCTGCGCTCGCTCACTTGTTTTTCTCTCCGCATCTCGTAGACTCGGATCTCCTCACAGGCGTAGTCGTTGCCTTCAGGAATGACCAGCTGCTGCAGTGACCAGCCTAGGCTGGGACGACATACACAGCTGCCCTGCAGGATCTTCGATGGGCTAAGTGGACTGTAGTCGACTGCAGGAAGGAACTCGCTACATTACATTATGGGTGCGTATCTTTTGACGTTCCCGGGCCGGGATGTTTGACTATGGGGTACACTTCAGAGGTATCCTCTGCCTAAGTCGAACATCCACACGCTACCAAGACTGGACAGGCAGGTCAAACAAAATACAAACTCATGTGTGAAATTATGTGCATACTATACATACACATAACTTGCATAACTCTTTGGCTCATCAATTGGAGGAATATCAGGAAACGGATATGTGAAGATTCTATAAAGTTCCTAACCTCCTAGTGATGGCCAAGCCAGGAAATTTCCCCACACCCGTGATATATTATATATATAGTTACATATATATATAGATATATATAAACCAAGCGATTGGTTCATAGGGATTCGTAGGGAACGAGCACAAAAGTCCAATGAACTGGGTAGATGCCCAATCACCCAACTGGTAAAGAAAGGCACCCCGGCGTCGGTGGAAGACACCTCGGTCGTTCCCTCCCGTCGAAACCGCTCGGTGAAAAGCCTTGTTTTTCCGTCTTCTCCTACTTGCCAGGTGGACAAGCTGCCACTGCGCAGTAGCATTTCCTGGAACTCCTGCAACTTGTTCAAACACACGCACATATTATATATATAAGAATTAATTAAAGCTACTAAGAACAAGTGCCTCGCTTCTAGTAACAAGTGCCTTACTAGTAGTGACAAGAAGCTATTATATATTATATCCTACCCCCCCAAAGATCGGTATGCAGATGTGTTTCAAGCAGGACATGTACGTTCGTGCGGTTGAAGACCCAAAGAAATTCATATATATATAACAAGTAAAACTGAGTGAAGCTAACAGTAGGGAATAGATTTCTTATTCCTATAGGTAGGGAACCACATATCAAGGAACAAAAATGAAGGGAAGACAGAGACAGCAGAATTACACAGTGACAGAAAAAAAACATGGTAAGCTCTGTTTATTCTATCTTTGTTGTTTATTTATTTATCCACGCATGTTCCTTACAATCTTTGCTGCTCTTGTTCTTACATAATTATGTAGTGTAGATAGATAAAAGCACAGAGTTTCATAGAAACAAATTTGTTCTTCTTTATTATAGTAACATTACTAAAAACAAAAAAAAGAACGTATAAATAACAAAATGATGCAATAATGGGCATGACAGAAAATATAGTGGGTGCAAATCACATGGGAGATGAGGCGTCAAGTGACATAAGGAATAGAGTAGGTAAGTCCTATATTATGTCAAAATGTTTTTGGCACCTAACCGTTCGGTGACTATAGGTAGAGCAGGATGAGATAGGACTTGTGGCATGCCTCCCCACCGGTTCCGGTCACAATCTGATCAGCTAGCCTTTCTCAGCTGTCATTTGTCCTGAATCCTAACTACTAATTATTGATTTAGCTCTGCAATTTGTGCCAGCCAGCAAGAAACCAAAATGGCCTGAATTTTGTTGTGGGTTCTTTTTGCCTGATGACGGGGGATTAATCAAAAGGGGGATAAGGCAAAATGACTCGGGAATGTGTGAGTTCCCATGTATGTTTTCTACATCCCATGTCATCCGAAGGTAGTATTATAATATAAACCTTTTTGCTGGGTCATGAGTGCTTATCAGAAAAAATGTTATACAACAGCCTTATACATATGTTATATATATACATATGTCCATTCCATAAGGCAAAACACAAGAAATCAAATAAGCATCGACAAAGCAGCTATGCCACATGTTCAGCTGCAAAAAGTTTCCTTCCAAAGATTCAAGCTGCAAATACAACATGAAAGGAAGCAAGGGAGCAAGGAAGGAGGAGGGTTAGTGCGCTGCTGTACTTGGGCGGCAGGCTGGCCTACAAAGTCAGAACAACAACCCAAGAATATAAATGGTTGTATTATATAATGCTTAATATAATTGGTTCTATTGTTTTACCCACATGTTTCCTAGGAGGCGAACATATACGCTCTATATATATATATGACAGTGACAGACATTAAAGTTGTAAGTGTCAATGAAAATGAAGAAGCAAAGCAAGAAGAAGCACCAGAAATAACAGAAGAGGTGGACCAACCACCAGAAGAAGCAGAAGAAGTAGTGAAACCAGAAGAACCTAAACAAGAAGCACCTAAACAAGAAGTCATTACAGAACCATAAAAGAACAATTCAAAACATTAAGTTAAAGGGCAAAATGGTTACATGTCCAAAGCAATATGGGAAATCCATGCAGGTAAGGAACTATATACAATTAAACGTACAAAAAGACTTGCATTGCAACAATTAAAAGCAAAAGGGTAAAACTAACAGCAAAGGCTACACCAAGAGCAATAGTTCAACATATTAAAGAAGAAAACACACCAAGAGAATTACCTCCGTGGAAGCACAGGTGCAAAAAAGAGTGAACTAGACCCATGGCACCAGTAAATCCACTGAAGAGTCTAGCGCATCTCTGTCAGATATTGCAAAATGAATATATAAGACAGAAGCAACAGTTTCTGCAAAGGAATGTTCAATAGCAAACCTAAGAAAAGATAGTAGTAATTATCTTTATCTAAGAGATTTATACTGGTTTCATTAGACTGAGGAACAGTTTTCAGAGGAACTGAATTTACAAAGCTAGAGCTTACATGATCATTGCATTTTACAACAGAGGCCTATATTCATTCAAAGTCAAATAGCAAAAGTTGGAGGTGGTCGAGGTGGTGGAACTTAGATGTATTTTCAGCATTGAAAGCAAACCCATCAACAACATATAAGAAAAACAAATACAGCAAAGTAGCGCAACAAGTTTATAAACTTCACCATGGAGTTTGTAAACTTGCTCACAACTCTTTAGTAGGGTGGTAGGGTAGGTAGGTAGAGGGGGGGGGTGCTCAGAGCTCTTTTCCTTCGTCACCTCTCCTTCAAGAAGACTTTACAGTAACCCCTCCCCTCCACTCTTCTTCAAGAAGACTTCTCAGTACACTCTTCCCCTGCATAGTTTATAGACTTAACCCTTAAGCATTTAGTTTATAAACTTTGTGAATGATGACGTTAGATCCTGTGGATGCAATCATGCACATATCATGTGATGCTGCACACATATGCACAAATCAGATGCACATTGTGAGGTGATGTGATGCGCATATACATACATGTAACCATAAGCAACCACTGAGCTTCGGGGGGTACCACATATATACATATATACATATATACATATAATATATATCACATCACACATCACATTGCGTAACGCTTGAGTCCACACGGTCGATTGGTTGACACACCAGGTTGACACACGGGAGCCGGGAAAAAAAGGCGAGCAACTCCCCATCCCGAAAGCGTGCCACAGTTGTTTTTGTCTGTCTTGGACTGGGATTTGCCAGGATTGCTTCAGGGGTCAAACTATCCAAGCAATAATCATGAACGTGCGACATTATCTCCAGTCCAGTCTAACTGTCTAACATTGTCTAACTAATTACTTGCCTCACTGCAATGTTGGAGTTGGAGGGGCTCGAGGCTATCAAAAGAAAAGGCAAAACACCTGCCTGTAGTGCCAGTTGACTGCCACGCTGGATCTCTCTTCGACGCCAAACACCGGGCCTCTTCGACGCCACGCACCTCATTGGCCCACAGCACCGTGAGGGGCCCTTCCATGGCATCCAGCGTGGACAGCAAGAGGGGTGAAAGCTCCGGAAGGTAGACACAATCCTCGGATGAACACGGGGTCTCATTAATCCAAATCATGAAACCAAACAATTGATTACAATGTTGATATGGCTACGGTACATAACAATGGACAAAGGGCTCAGAGACATGAGCATGGGATGAGGACTTGGCCATCTCATTTTTTGAGTGAGAATGGTGAAAGTCGACTGTGAATGGTCATGGAACCTTGCTAATCCCAGGTTCAAACTCTGGAACTGAGCGCAGTCTCTCACCACCTTCCAGCAATCTGTGTCAAATGATGATAGACGTCAGCTAAGATAAGGGCTGCGCGTCAGCTGTTCTGCGTTTGAAAGCTGAATTAGATGCGTTCTATTGGAAACTGAGAGACGTGAAACATAGAGTGGTCTTGCTTCCAGATAAGAAATCCCAAAAGAAAAGACCAAAGCCAATATGGCCCACCAAAACCACCAAATGTCGACTCCATTTACAGTCCGATGGAGCATCTGGGCATCGGACTCGCCCAATCCACCCGCAGCCCAGCGGCCGACATGATCACGGTCTCGATTCCCTCGATGCCCGGCGCTTGTCCCCACTGAAGCTCTTGAACATCAGCCCGCTCCTAATGCGACTGACGGGTGGATCCGTTGAACATACTGAACTGAGATGGAATGAAAAACACCATTTATATGTCGTTTGTTTCTGTGTGAACAGTAATTTTGCTGGAGGAGTTTCCGCCATCTTTCAAGGCCCCTCATATGCACAATCTCCTCCAATTTGTTGGAGGCAATGTTGGATTCCAGCAAAGGCAGCATCACAGGTCTATCCTCAACTCGAATTCACAACTCGGGTTTACGACCTACAATTTCGGGGCGGTCTGAAAAATCATCCAGTTTAGAAATCGTTTGCGACCGTCGATTTTGTCGGGTCGATTGAAAACAATCAAAACATCGACCACAAGCTGTGTGCAGCTGAAACATGTTGAAGCCAATCCAGTGTCCAAACTGACACTTTTATTTTGGGGGGGGAAGGGTCAGTGTCAGCATCCATTCCATGCACGGAGTGTCTTGGAAAGGAGGCTATGAGTGTGTACTTGGGGACATTCAGTGAGAAAGCAAGCAGTTTCACGCAGTGAGCGATTCGACTAATTTGGTGCTTTCATGTGGACACTGGAAAACACAAATTGATACAAATGGTTGAATTTGGGAACCTAAACCACAAGAGTTAGTTGGACAACCCTAAACATAATTGGACCAAACTGCGCAACCTTCATCGTCTGCAATCACAAGTCCTTCTATTCAAGAAATTGGCAGAACAAAGCAAATCAATCCACAAAACATCCCAATCCCAAAATTTGCAAAGGGAAGTCCTGGCTGGTCCTACCTGACAACACGGCCATGCTTGACTGACAAAAGGTCCCAGAACCAGACATTTTCCACAAACCTCATTCGTACGTCTGGCTGTACAAGCCTACCTATAAGACGGTTGTTTGAGCTTGAGGGTGTCAAGTAGCATTGTGGGGATCAATGTTTCTTTATGGGAGAGTTTGCCACGCCAACATGTTGGTTGAGCAGCGCATAGCAACACAAAGTGCTTGCAAGTGCTGGACCGTAGGTGTCCTGGAAAACCGGACCATGCCCGTCGGTCGTATAGGGGGGTGAGTGTGATGAACACACTCACGCCCCAACGGAGCGATGGCGGTGATGACAGGTACGGACGAGGGTCCATGGCAACCGTCCACAACCTGTTCACCGAGATTCGACCGCTGGGAAGACAGGATCTCACACACGATCGAAAACTGGACCGGTGGGCGGGCTTTATTTCTTTCATGAATGCGAGCTGCAGCTGTTTCGATAAACAAAATGAGGTAGGGTTCTCAATCGCCAAGCTGCGCTGATCATGAAGCTAGGAGGTTTGCCTCGCGAACTTTTTTGGTCTTTGGCTTTGCGCCTTCAGGTTTTGATGTGGATCTCAGCTTTCTCACATTTGCGAACCTTTGATTTCAAGTCTTTGAAAGTTTTGTTGAACATTGCATTCCAACCACCACACGAGTCCCTGTCCTGATCTCGCCCGGTCCACTCACACTGATGCCACATCTCTCAACAGCCTGTGTGAGCCCAGCCTCGCCAGCAAACAACTCAAGAAACTGTGTGTCAGTTGAAGCCTCTGTAAATTGCTCGACAATCACCTTTGGTGTTGCACCTTCTTCAACGAATTGCTCTGCGTTGAACTCATTGCACTCCAATCTCCGTTTCAAGGCCGTCCTCAACTCTGTCAAGCGAGTCTCTGCACGATCAACTGTCATCTCGCACGATCCCGTGAAGGCAGGAGTGCTTAGTAGTCACATGCGCTTCTGCTTCTTAGCGGGTGGACCTCCACCCCTTCCACGTCGCTTTCCTTCCTTGCCCGCCTTGCCCTTGTCCTCATTCGTCCAGCCTGTGGGGACAATCAATCGTCTTGTGAGTCGGACAATATCACTTATTACCCGCGCGTTTATAATTCGGGTGGGCCCCTATCGGTTTTTGAGGTTTCGGCATCTCTTTACATGTAATTGGGTAGTACCCTATCAGTCCCAGGCTGTCTTATAATTACATTGCACCGACTTGGAGCATTGCAGGCTTCTCAAATTCACGAGCCCAAACTCTTGGTGGCTGGCACAAATGCTGAAAGTGCTGGGTGTGTCTGATGGCCTGTGCCGCATCTGGATGCTGCAACACACTCATCCTGAACTCCGAGGCATAGCGATCCAGCATGGATGCAGTGGCTAATTCAGCATGACAGCTGCTGTCCTGAAGATTCTCCAGGCCTCTTCCCAAGAATCCAGATTGGATGCCCCTGGACGACCATCCCGCCACTGTTGGCTGACGAACTTCATAGCTCGTGCAATCTTTTCTCCATGCGCTGCCATGTCAATGACTGGGGTTTGCCCGACTGTATCTTGTGATACAAACAGGTCAACTGAGCATCTGTGACCTCCTCCTTGTCGAAGGGATGGTCACCCTCGGCACTCGCAAACTTGCCCCTCATCTTATGCAACACGGAACTGGCCAGCATCTCAACCTCAAAGTCACATCCTTGGTCAATAACCTGATTCATCTTGAGCTTCAACTTTGCACCACTTGTTCCACTGCCATCTGTTGTCGACAATGCTGTGGTTGCATCCCTCAATGCTCCTCCCGACGGTGTGAACGATGAAGAACTGCCATACTTCACCTGTACTGCACTGCAAAACAGCCGCCACTGTGCTTTCTCTGTCTCAAGCAATGCACGACCACCTCTCATCTCAATGCATGGACAAGTGCCTGCTCAACACCATCTGTAGGAATCACTGCCAACACGTGCAATGACGACAGCTCTACATCTCCCATTTGCCGACACACGCACCTAATCAGACCAGCATCCATGCCAGCCCAATCCGCGGCATCGCTCAGTGCCCCGCAGCTGTCTAAGGCTACCCGGTCGGGCAGTAGGCCATCCATCCTCCCCCACCTAACTTGAATAGGGGGAGTTATAAACTGCACCTACCCAAGCCAACCTTGGAGCTCACACGGCACAGTTTGGGCCTGCAGAATCTTGTATGGTGAACGCTGTCAAAAACGACACACTTCTTCGTTGCGAGGACACAGAGAGCCATGGAAAGTGCTGTGAAATCTGCGCAAGAACGACATCATGTCATCATGTCTAAAACCATTGGCATGAGCAGGCATTCAAAGCAGTTGTGGCTACAAGACCGACAGCCCACAGCCCACCACAAAGTATCAACATGAACCCCTGGAAGGGTCGTGCCCCACGAGCTTTGTCATCAACAACACAATGACGGCCGCCCTGCTCCGGAGCCGCGGCTGAACAAGCTACCGCGTACAGTGATGTCCACAGCTTCACCGCACAGCCAAGGCCACCGCTAGCATAACCAGCTTAACCTGCTTGGCCACGCTTTTCCACGCTCAGGCCGTGCCATCAACAGCGCAACCAGTCGCCAAAGCTCGCCACCCCACATGATGGCTTGTTCAGCGGCCAAAGAATTCTTCGGACAGAGACTGCGACTCTACGGCCCTCAGCGAAGCTTGGCCCTGGATCAAACCACGGCGTGCTCTCAAGCTGCCATTTCCATAGGGCATGAAAGGGCATGAAGCGTCAATAGTTTTCCACCCTTCTACGTGTGAAACACCAAGAGGTCAAAGACAGGGGGTCATGAAGTGGAACGTGACATGACAAGTGCACTGCCAGCTTTTCCTTTGCCTTTGACCTCCACGTTTAGGAGTGCAGAAAAGAAGACTGAAAAAGAAACAATCATTAATCATTCCCTGATCATTCTTTGCCAAAGTGGATGACGGTCCCATGTTCAGGGTCTACACTCGCTTTCGGGAAGAAAGCCATTCTCCTACAAGAACCCCATGCTCCGCGCTCCGCGGGTCCCAGCGGCAGTGAGCGTGACTTTGTGGCCCAAGGCAGCTGCCACAAGTCCACAATACCCGGTGCCAGAGCCAAGTTCCAGGACCCGTTCGCCACAAGTGATCCTGGACGGAAGTGGCGGATGGGGAGGCTGAGACTTCTGACGGGACAGGACGCGAAAGCAGCGACAGATCCACATCTGCGCAACGATGACTTTCTTTTTCCAATGTTTGGAGATGGAAACCCAAGGGCTCGCTTGCACCCGTCAGCGTACTAGTCTACGTACTGTGTGTATCTGTGTATCATGTAAATGTGTTGACGTGCAATTCATTTCTGACATCATCACCCTCTATCCTACGAAAGGATCTACGATGCAAAACGACTCACGACTCACGGAGCTCAAATCATCACCGACTCCGGGTCCCAGCCAGACTGATTTCAGCCACGATCAGCACGAGCGGATGCAGCCGAGCGGTGGATGTTTTACACCGCGCGGATGCAGCCGAACGAGTTCTCGGTTCTCCATGCCACGGACCTCTACGGACCTCTACGGGTTCTGCGAATCCATTCTGGACCTGCCAAGTAGGATTATCAAGCACCCCAAATCGTTGAACCCATCCAAATGGGGAAACATCAAGCTCCAATGGCTTAAAACTAGAAGAGTCAAACACAGAAGCTGCTTTTTTGAGGAGTAACAGTCAGTACCACCGTCTTTCCTGAAGTCCAGATCCGCAAGTGAAAGCAACTTGCTTGGTCATATTGTGCATTGACCCTGGGTAAGAACTTGCAGCACTTGATTCAATCACCTTTGCAACTTACACAAGTATATAAACCTTCATTCCTCATCTAATAACCCCTTCATTCTATTCTGGGCCAAGCTATGACAAAAGTCAATCACCTAGGTAGTGCCAAAAGAACGCTAAGAGGTGGTTTCTGACAGTTCTGAGCGTCAGTACCAGTACCACTTTTTACACAGGGTGAAGGGTCGAGGTGTATGACATGAGCTATATGATTCCTTTTACATCACAACACAAGGATGGCACAAGAACCTACTTGGGGGTCTTGCATAGTCAGTTGCCCGAACCCAAGTTGTTCTTAATCAATGACACACCTTTGGACACACAATCAAACGTGGGTTGGAATTTCATCAGTCCGCGTTTCTAGGTCTTTTGTAAGTGTCTATCTTTGCAGTTTTTGCCAGGAAAACTATTCCCAAACGATCAATCCCAGTCCGAAACGCGGAGTTGCCACAGTTGCCACAGTCCAGATTGGTTGCATGAATGAGACTGTATGGTATTCAGCAGCTAGATGAACCATGCTGATGTGTACTCTGATGTGCATATGTATATATATATATACAGTAATATTGAGGTGATTAGTTAATCTTCACCGCAAAACTTCTATGCAATCTCATTCTTCAGCACTGCCCCCCAATCCTCTTTGGCCCTTGGTGACACACCGATGCCGGGTGGAATCCAAAGGTGTCCTCTGTTGACTTCATCTGAAAATGAGACAAACCTTCAAAAGACCTTTGTTTAGTTAACTTATGTTAACTTATATGTTAACTTCCATCTACCAATTGTTTTGGGGTGATCATCCAAGCCAAACAACTGCTGCTTTCAACCCGGGAACGCTCCGATCAGGGCTTCTCCACTGAGGGGCTGGCGCTTGATCAGCATCTCGCCCAAACAAAGAGCTGAATCCCAAACCTAGGGGTTTCGGACCACCAAAGCGAACCTGGAATAAATGGAATGTCTCAGAAATCTTCGGGGCAAATGGAACAATTCACCACCTAAGATAAGGATGGATAAGGACCTCCACCACCAGCCACATCCAACATTAAGTGAGTTCATTTCACTCACCATCGTGAGGTTGAATGGTCGTATGTTGCCCGGTCAATGCAAGCATAGGTGTGTCTGTTGTTTTTTTTTGCAATGCAGCATATTGGATCAACCTGATCAACCTATATTCTCTCTCCCTGACATTGCCTGACCACCTCAAACAGGTACAAACTTAGGGATGTGTTTGACAAAATAATTTGCCAAGGGATCAAGTCTCCTGTGTATGGCTGTGTTGGATCTGCACACGTGTGGCTTTTAGTTCTACCAAGCGATTTCCAAACCTTCTTGTGCGGCCTTGGCTCCTTTTCAACAGCAATACAGTAACAGTTATAACATACGGGTACAACTATAACTACGGGTAACATACAGGTATAACATATATACAGGTATAACATACGGGTAGTAACTTATATAACAACTAACAACTAAGAACTATATGGACACGCACACACCCGAGTCCTGCAGTCCCCTGCAGTCGCCCCCTGGGCCCCCCATCTCTCCAAGAACCTCACTCCGACCGAGGCACGGTGGCACCCGACTCATCAGACAAAGCGAGGTTCACATCCACCTCCAAAACCTCGGCGTTCGCCCGAGTCGCTCGGTTCGCCCGAGCGAGGTCTCCCCAGTTGAGGGGGGCCGGACGGCGGACTTGGCCGCGCCCCGAAGAAGCGGCGGAGAAGCCGCCGCCTTTTTGGGGTGAAGGCACCTGATATCCTTTTCGTAGTTGTTGGAATGGTCGGGATTTGGCGGGGGTCGGACAAAAAGTGTAACTGGGACGTGTGGGAGCAGAAAAGCCGAGGACCTTCGGGTCTTTTCTTGAGGTGATCGGGTCATTTTGGGTCAAGCTTAAGGTAGGGATACGTTCAAGCATAGTTACGAGCCAGGGAACTAGACTATGAGAAAAATTTGACAAGTCAAGTGCTTGCGAGCTTACCAAGCATGCTTTTGTGATTCACATGGAATGAGAGTGGCTTTTGTGCTGCTCAGAATTTCTTTACTGGTGGAGTCATTTACTTGCCGCGCTTATCTTATTCACCAACACTCTTTCAACCATCTCAAAAGACCCTCCGACTACCCGAACATACAGTGACATGGAGCCGGAGCAACGGCATGCCGGCATGCTAAAAGGAGTTTTCCACCATCAAGTTCTAGTTCCATGGACGGTCGACGTTCGTTTCTTCGCTGGTGCTCCGTCGTGGTGCATTCTGTTGGGAACTGTGACCCCCTTTTCTTCCCGGGTCTCTCCTCACTGCCCAGTGACATGGTCCCCTCCGTCCCTCGGGATTGCCACTCGCCGCATGGGCCGACGCGGCCGGTGTCGTGCGCCAAGCACCGTCCAAGGTGGTCTCAACTGGTTTGGTCCTCCCCAAACTGGCCAGTTCCTCCCCCAAACCACAATCACACGGGCGCCACTGGCCAGTTCGAGTGGTTGGAATGGAATGGGTTGGATCTCGTGCGATCTGTGTCATGGAGTCAGACCCAGAGTCACACTTATGTTGGTCTATTTGCTGGGAAATGACTGGATCACCAGCGAAGGCTGTCACCAGAGTTGATAAGATTAATCATAAGAATAACATCTACGCTCCTCTGTCTGCCTTTCATTCCATCCGAAGATAGGCGGAAAAAGGTTTCGCCGTCCTGGTTTGGTTCCGAACACATGACATGCACATCCAAAGAGTACCTTCTGATCTTTGCTCCTTCCTCCGTTGACCGATCTTCTACACTTGATCCCACGCTGCGAAGCGGAACGAACGGCAGCCGAGCGAAGGTCGCCGGAGGCATCGGAAGGTTCGCCGTGATCTCGGAACCATAAGACCACTCTCAAGCGCCGATGAAACAAAAAGTCCAATTAAGCAACTCCATGTGGGAAACCCCCAAGTGCAGAGTGCCTTTTATGTTTAATTGCTGCCTTAACTGTTCACGACTAAAATGCCCCCAAAGCAGTTTTAATCAAGTACCCGCCGGAATTAGGTACCAATCTGGGTGGGGGGGAAGCCAATCTTTTCCTGCACAAAGTTCACTGCCAGGCGTCGGCGTATTGACAAAACTACGGCTTCACCGAGATGGGTTTTACTAGAATCATGGGCCACCTCTCGGAAAGAAAAAGAAGGGAAATTGCACAGTCTGATGGACCATACATATCGATACATACCCGACATACCCGGAATCAGAGGACGTGGGGTGGGCAGGACCCCCGTCTTCCCACGTGCCTCATTGGCTGGGAACTCCTGAAGCAGGGCTTCCCGAAGCAGGCGGAGACCGCACGCACGGTGGAGTGGAACAAGTCTTATTATAAAATATAAAATTACACATATCAATGTTACACCTGTATGTTGTATAGATATGTCTACATTATTATATACTATACACTTATACATATAGTGTGCAAATATAGTTTAATATATTTGATTGATATGTATTATGTATTGTTGTTTTCAGGCAGGTCTCCTAATCAGACCACAATCGTCTGGTGCATTTATCGTTTACCAATTACGAATTTCCCCTGTCACAATTTCAAATCGCTGTGCACGCTGGAGAGGTGTTTGGATTTCATCTGCAGAGATGTTCACAGATCTCCATGTTTGAAGAGACTTAGGTTCTGATCTACATGACAGACTCGAGCGAAAATAACAGACTGCTTCAATCACGCACCGGCTCTCTGCCTCTGTCACGTCACTTTTTATCCCCCCTTGCTTGACTCCCTTGGCGCTTCAAAGCCGCGCCTGTCTCTGCTCGAAGCTCACCCCATTGTGCGCGAAGATCAGCAGCTTCTTCCGCGTGGCCACACAGACCTGAACAAGGCAGAAAAAAACGGCTCAAACAAATCTGCAGCAGACATGTCAATGTCCGTGGGAAATGGAGTTGTACTGTTAACAGGTCACGTACCGAATCGAATTGGATTTTTTCTAGAAATTTGTAGTGAATGGAACTGTTCAGATGGGTTGCACCAATATTTAAGGAACCCTTAAATTAGTCCACTTCTCCATACTCCTTCATACTCAAGTTGGAGAAAAAGAACACGACTGAATCACGTCCCTTCGACCCGATTCGGTCCCTCCGACCAGCCGCCTCCGCACTGACCTCTTCACCCGAGCTGCCGGTGTGCAAACACAGGCGCTTGACCTTGTGACAGCTGGAGCAGACTCCAGGCGATTTAAATATTGTTATTATATATATATACAAATATATACCGTATTATACTGTATAGATGTCCGGGCATACTCCTAAGTGGTTTAGATATTTTAGATCAGGTTTTGCCTATGTTTCTAACGTTTTCCTGAAGTGGATGGCAATGATGGCTACTTCGCAGGGATTTGGCAACAAGAGGTTCTGAGCCGGTTCTGCATTGCCTGGATATGGCATCAAAAAGCATCGATGTTGATTTGTGCAGTGGGCATCGGTATCAGCAGGAGTAATGATCCCTCTGGGGCATCCACCCATCACTTCCATGTCTTTCATGATTCATGTTCGTGTTTATCTGCACCGCAAACAAAGGTGCTGAGGCGTTGTCTCAGATCGCATAAACCATAGCTCATTAAGCTTTTGAGCTTTTTCAAAGGACGAAAAATGAGCAATCCATTGGCGACGTCGGTTACGCCGCCCCAGTGAGACTGCAATATTGGCATCGTGCGTGCTTGCCCCTGTGGCCTTCCCAAAAGAGATCATGTGAGTTATGCTGTCCCAATACTGGCACCCCAAATGCTGCTGAACAAACACAGATATTCATCCTAAACTCGATCTTTCCTACTTGCACCTACCCCTTACGTTCCACTCTTGCACCTCGTTGTTTCCATGACCGTCTTTTTCTCACGGCACCCTTCTTCTGACGCTTTGAGCCCTGCTCTTTCCCGGCTCAGAGAGCACAAGTATCCGTGCGGCCGGCTTCGTCGCGAAGCGGTGTGAATACTCTTGAAACATCATACTCTCCTTGCACACAGGCATTGTCACCATGAACAACGAACGGCAGGACACTTCAAAAGCCAAAATGGTCATGTCACTTCTTTAGCATGCTCCAGATGTTCCACCTTCGATCTGCTAAAGGTCTGGACATGTCTTGATCAGTGACTTCCGCGTCAACCAACTATGGAGTGACTACGATGTTTTTGGACCTTGCTTTTGAGGGGGCCCGAAGCAACAACCGAACCATGCAGTTTAGGGGACGAAAACAGAGTGAACGGCCAACCAGAGTGAATGGTCTCACCAGTTTGGGCCCCCAGGGGCGCCCTCTGACGGGTGCTGGAATGACAGGTCCAAGAGAAAGTCGGCTGGGTGATGAAAAGCACACCCAGCCTGATCGAAACACATCCCATAAACCAAGCCGCATCCTTGCAAATCTCCACCTCATTGGCGGTAGGAGGAGATTTGGAAGCAAATAGCAAAGCAGAGCAATCGCAGTAGACTATGCAACATCGGAGTGTCACCAATAGATGCCGGCCACTTGGGCGGCAGGTCCACTATCACACTGGAAGGTTGAACGGTATCAAAAGATCTCATGAAGAAACATCTTCATTCAAGCTATATACTGTAAGCACTACTCTAAGCCTCTTGAAGGTGGAGACTGTCTGGGCATGTTTAGGTCAGCTGTTGTATTCCCCAATCTGGCCTATCTGTGCTCAGAATTTTCCATCAGGACAGGTTCCAGTTGTCTCCCCCCCGAAGAAAACATGTTTTGCGGTTCACACCCTTGGACCATCTTGTGAGGATGAAAAAGAAACGAGCAGTCCTTAACTTGGGATGCTCAGGTCAAAATGACGTTGCTTCAATCCAAGCTGCAGGGCTTCATAAATGGGGTGCAGTGAAAGTGAAAAGCCATGAACACTGAACCCAGCAGCAAGTTTGAAGACCATCCAGATCCTCATTCAGTCACCTCAACCAATCAGTCCTTACGATCTTTTGCCTGTTCAAACCAAGTTCTCCTGCGCGATTCCTCCTGTTCCAGGCAGAACAATCTAAGACACCTGTGACAGCGTCTCCAATACATGGACTGTCAATGTCCATCTGAAGATACTGCGACCTGCTTGCACTTTCTTTCATGGGGCATCCCGCATGTGCATGGGGCTTGCCGGACTGGCTAGCACGCGACTCCTTCTTGATGGCCCCCTCGTATACCAGTCTCCCTGATAAAACTCTGGACTCTCACAATCGCCATGCAAATGAGTACATGACTCCTTTACATGTGCTAATTAGGCTCTTTTCTTTGCCTTTGCCCCTTTCCTCGCAGGCACCCAACGCCCAACGCCTCACTTCACCTCGAATCAATCACAGGATTGGGGGTCAAATGAAACAGTTTGAGGGGTTAAACAAAATGGGTTGGTCAAAAGAAAGGGTAGGGAGTCCAAACAAATGGGAGCCGATCAATCACTACCCAGCACGTCTGCTTCTGGCGTCCCAGCCGGCGCCGCCGTCTGCACATCACGGGGCAAGGCGTAGAGCACGGAGTCGAGCAGCGCGAAGACAAAGCGCTCGGTGGCCTTGACCTCAGGGAAGAGGAGAGGAGTAGAAGAGGGGTGTAGAAGGCTGAAAAGGGTCAAGGCCACCGAGTGCTCCGGGGCCTCGAAGGTCGCCAAGCCCTCTCCCCCCCTCAGTTGAAAGAGGGAGACGCCCAGGAGCCGCGTCTAAGGAATTGGATCGAGTTTGACATGTGCAAATGGAGAATCAGTACGGCAAACATCGAAGTAGAAGTAGATGGCCCATGGGATTTCCGATGGTCCACGTACCAAACAGCAGGCGTTGGACAAAGATCGGTGCTTTGACCATGTGGTCACGTCTAATATAACCAAACCACAGTAAACAGTATAAACTTTATAAACGCATATATATATATATTATAGTAGTATGTGTATTGTATATATAATAGCTATGGCAATTATGGGTGGGGGTCTTGCACCCCACTTTAAAGACATAAACATGGCCTGTCCAACCCCCTCTCGTCTATAATTTGAGAGGGTCTGAGGAAAACACCTTCTGTAAAAAAAGGGGGGCCAACGTGTGCTACATGTCATCATGTCCTTGAAATCTACTATGAAATGAGGAGGGATACACATATTCTACATCTGTCAGAAACGGTATGGAGGAGTTGAAATGTAGAGCATGGATTGATGGCTGGTTAAGAAAGGGATTGATTGCACAATTCCGAAGGTACCATCGCCATGACAGCACAATCCAACCGGACCTAACCTTCTTGTCTGGAGCACAACGTGTAGCCACGGGTGATTGAGCGAAAAAGACATGATCTGAAATCTCAGACACACGAGACCTGTCCAATTCCGTTTCATTTTTGTATGCATCGCGATGCAACAGGCAAAATCTCTATAAACTTAGGGCGGCCAACCCCCCCTGGAATGTCCATTAAACGTTTTATAGAGGGGGTTGACCCCCACCATTTCATAGGGCTAATTGCCATGTGTATTATAATTATTATATATATACACAAAGGGGATTATATAATCCCTAGTTCCTATTAATAAACGTACCCCAATTAATAAAAACACATGTGCCCGACCCCAAAAAATTGTTAGTAGCGTTTTGAAATTGCTCCCTTTGAAATTCAATACTCGTGGGTCCACAGTCGGGGGTGCCCCAGATTTTAGGTGTATTAGGGGGACAGCAAAAATAACCCGAATTCCCCCTAATATTAAAAACATCTCCAATCCTCCCCCCAAAATACCTCTCTCCCTCTCTCTCTTCGATTTGACCCTTTTTAGCTTTTTTGATGGTCGTTTTATAAAGGATTTTATTTTGATTTGGAACCCATGCCTTTTCCATGTTGCCTCCTTTCCAAGATCCATTCTTGCTGTTTTGTGGCCCCCTAATACTAAGCAGGAGTCTGTGCCAATGTTCCTAATTAATTTTGCTTTCCTGATTGCGCTATCCATTGCTCTTTGCAGCGATGTGTTTTCATTCATTGGGTGCATCAACAGTTGGTCTAAGAAACCAACAAGAGGGGGAAGACCTTCGATTTGACCCTTTGTTGTTTTTTTGATGGTCGTTTTAACAAGGATTTTATATAATTAATTAGATTGGGAACCCAGGGATTTTCTTTCGAGGCCCTACTTTTTATTAGGGCGAACAGAACATTGCCCATTTGGGGGTACAACAGGTGCCCCTCAATAATAAACACCCCCTATTAGTAAAAACACCCCAGGGTTTTTATTAATAGGGGGGGGGGCCGTTTATTATTAGGGAGAGGGGATTAATTTGCATGACTATGTTCCCTTCAATGCTGGTCAATGCTTGGTTCTTCTGCGTCATGCCAACGTTCCCCAAATGGGTCCTTCACTCCGGGAACTGGCGGAAGACCGAACTGGGAGGTCTCCGATACCTTGTTGCACTGTCTCGATCACGGGCGTTGGGCCGTTGGGCCGTTGGGCGTGGAGCGGAACGGAGCGATTCCTAGTTCGAGACGTTCAAGTAGACACTGCCGCTTGAAACATGAAGAAATCCACTCCAGGGAACAAAATCAATAGAAATCATGGTTGCGTGGATGATGGCACCACCTGTTTGATTGTTTGGTATTCGAAAAATGGTCATCCATGGGGCCATGCCATTCCACGACACGAGGCTGCCCTCTCCCCCACCTGCTCCACTGGTCTTCGCGAGAGTCGTGCCACTCCCACTTGGGAAGCTTTCAGGTCCTGGGGCGTCGTATGTCCTCGCGACGTTTCACCACCTGTCCAACCAGGGTAAGTGAAAAGAGAGAGGCCCTCTGATCTTGTCTACCTCAAGTCTCTTGTCTCTTCCTTCGAAAAGGGCCACCTGGCCAACAGGGCCAACAGGCCACCTTTTCCTTTGAAGGACATGATAAAATGACCAAAGTCATTCCTTCCTCTTTTCAGGATATCAAATGAGCAAAGAATTCCGCAACCTTGTCATCAGCACTGTCAACTTCTGCCGGAAGTGAAAACCTGGGCGTTGGAAAAAGGACTGGTTGTGCTGCAAGCTGCAAGGCGTGGATGAGTGATTCAAGGATGGCAGCATGTAAAAGCCTTTCATCCCAGAAGTCGCCATGGATCGTCCAAGTCGCCGCTAGCCGTGCATCTTCTGGGCAAATCATGTTTGTCGGCATTCAGGCGATGTATTCTGGCCGAATGTTTCATGTTTCACCACCCTGAATTGTTTGATCCAAAATAGATGTTCAAGGAACTGGTCATTCAATTTTGTGAGGCCCAGGCTGTCTCCTCATCAGCGAAGTCGTTCGAATGCGTGATCAATCAAGATTAACCCGACTTATTGTCGTCGATCTGAGTTCAAGGCTGGAAAACACCACCGACAGCAGTGCCAACGTAGATGTGATTTCCTCGCGAATGTGGTGTCTTTGGATGGTCTCTAACAGAAGCCTTCACAAAAATCGGCCGGAGAATTGTCTCGTATACAACTGCAACCGCCCATCAGGGGAACCCTTCTTTGGGACGTCCCGAAAAAACGACAAAACAACTCACATTGAAATGTATATCTGAAATATTGAGTACATGCTCGCAAACAGCTTGATCAAGCCTCAGATACCGTTATGAGGGAAGGTCATATTTAGATATGTTCTTCCCACACACTTGGTGGGAGTGGATTTTTGACCCCAAACAGTTCAGGTGCTTCTCTCTACGGGGGTCAATATGTTACCCACTAGTTCTTCCTCCCAAGTCATAGCCTTTCTGCCGAAAGGAAACATCACCTCAGATCTCGTCCCCAAAAAATTCTGTGTGAAACAAAATAGGCACCCCAAACTCAGATAGAAGGCAAAATGGTCTTAATGGTCTTACCTGTTGGTAAAGGTCATCCTCCTTTTGAGACAGATGTTTGCAATCTGTGGGCCTCAGATCCACTAGTTCTCTCGGGTTTGTCACAGAAATCCACGTCGCAAGCGCTGCAAGCGCCTGCAAAAGCAATACTCTCAATCTTTTCTTGAAGATCCAGGGCTGGCACCTGGAAAAGATCGTTAAACACTCGGACTGTCATGAGCTTTGGATGACCGTAACATGACTCAAGATAGAATATGCAGGCTAAAGAGTACTAGGGGCTTCTGGCCATACTACTAGGAACAAGGACGCTACTAGGAGCAAACGGCATTGCTACTAGGAGCAAAGATGCTACTAGGGGCTCCTGGCCTTACTACTAGGAGCAAGGACGCTACTAGGGGCTCCTGGCATCGCTATTAGGAGCAAGGACGCTTGCTCAAGATAGAATATTAAGACTTGGGTGTGCAGGCTAAAGAGACTTGAGATGTCCAAGACTGGAAAATTCAGCCAGCCAGCTGAGTCACGCACAGATCGAAAGGGATTCATTCTCGACAGCCAAACACATCTCCGGATCGGGGTTGGTGTGTTTACTGTGAGGACTGTGAGGTATTGCAACGAAGCTCAAAAAAAATGTTTCATCTGTGCAAGTCTGTGAGCTAGAATCCAACACATGACACTGCACATTGTGACATGGTTCCTCATGACACTCCACATTGTGACATGGTTCCTCATTATGGTGGAAAGGCTCCAGCAGCTGCTTCCACTGAGCAAAACAATGCATAGTGTGTTTCTGTGCATGCTTCCTTGAGTGCTTGAAGCTTCTACTTCTTGGTGCTTTGTTGTGTATAGGGGGTATATCAAAATGTGTTGGTCACCCACCAAGTAGCAATAATGAGAATAATTACGCAACAATAATAACATATGTATAAAGGATTTCAAGTTGAACGGGTCATGATGTCATGGTTCTCCCTACCAAATTGGTCATCAACGGGGCACATGGCTTCTGCTGAAAGGTCTCGTGGTAGCCAAGCTTTTATGATAAACACCTAGCTTTTCTGTCGTGATTCTGTCAATGTTGGAGTTGCGGAGTTACCTCATGGCACTCTCCCATCGCCATGCTTCTACCATCGCGCGCTAAAAAGCCAGCATGGAAGTCATGTCAAGCGCGTGGTCGGTGTCCTGACTTGGACACCGACCGCTTTCGGTCAAGCGTTTGGGAATCGGAACCGGATGGAAAGGCTGGAGTCGGCTGGAGTTTTTAGAAAATGAAGACCAAGATACCATACGGTAAAAGGAACTGTATACGGTATGCGTGTGTGTGTGTCCATGCAAAACCAATTGTTGCAATGCTTCATTGGTCGAGTCGTTGACTCCTCTCCTGCTCCCCCCGCATCCACGCCATCCAGTGACTGACTTCCGGTGGAGAGACGCTTCGAGCTGTGGGAGAAAGGTCCGTGCTTTTTAGGGCAGGCGTGGTGGACATATGAATCATTCTAGCCAACGGTTTTGAAGCTTGTCTGTGGTGTTTCTTGACTTGGTTTGATTGGTGTTCTATTCCAGCTGGTATGTTTCATTTGCTCTGATAAGGCCCCCAGTTCACCGAAATGCCGCGTCGAATCGTGGTGCATCTTTTGGCTCGCCTGATCGGCCGGTCGCCCAAACCATCCCAAACCAGTCACCTCTTGGCCAAGAAATGCGAAGAAGAAACCTGTGCGAGGCAAAGCACCTGCTGTTGATTCACCACAAGTTTTGAGGACCGCTCTGGAGGATCAGCGTCAATTGCAGCGTTGCGAAAGGGAGCAGGGGGAGGATCAGGATGCGCCAGGTTTTATCCTAGAATCACCACAGCTCCGCGCGGACGTTTTCGTCACCAGTGCAACCAGTGATCTTCGGAGTCGGTGACTGGGTCGACACCGGACAACTCCGTCGCTGTGCCGGTGGCAACAGCGTCCAAATGTGCTGAAACTTGGCCAGGATCTATCCGGATATCCAACCTCAACGGGGCCAAAGAGGAGAACGAGCTTGAAAAACAAAATAGACAAAACAAAACAGTCTAGGTAAAAAGTTGCAGGGGCAAAAACCTGGGTTTGGGAGTTGCATGATCTACACATTCAATCATGTTTCAACCTGACCGACCGGGTCACCGACCATGATCGACCCACTGGGCCTCCCTGACCGAAATGGATACTGGGCATGCTCCAAGTGATGCCTCGCGTCCGGCACCGGAGGAGGAGGAGGATGTGCGACCCTTGGTTTTTGGTCCAATCCTGCATTGAACTGCAGTCACGCAGATGTTCTTTGGGCTGGCTGAGTGCAACAAATAAAGATGGTTTTGGATCCTCTACGCTGCCGAGGTATCATTTGCAAGAAAAGAAACCCCGGACACATGCTTGACACCCCTGCTATCGCGGAAGTGATAGGGTGACAATTGGGAGATTGCACACCAGAAGTGAATGCATCAAAAAAATGCGATTCCCTCTGTGAATGCTCTATACACATGGGCACAACACCAGAGAAAATGGCAGAACACGTGGAGGCGCATGAACAGAATTAGCAGAATGACAAATCATGACAAGACTACATGAATCCAAAAACATGGAAGGGCAATTGAATATAGAACATGACGAAAGAGAAACGAACCCAAGAAGGCGTCACACCAATGAAATTATTATTATGACCGAACCGTACTGGACCCCCTGCATGTGTTCCTTCATCCCCCCCGTTTATGCCCATGTCCATCCAACGAAGTCACGTTTCTTCGTCGCAGAAGTGCCACCGAGGCAGCCACGGAACTTCCAGAAGATTCAGGATGGCGACCACCTGTGAGGTCGGGGTGAAAGGTTCAACCCATGTGGACCATGGTGGATCCCCAGCTGAAGACATCTTCTTCGATTTTCTTCGTGTCGTGGATGTGTTTTTCTTTCCCATTCTTTCCCCACCTCATTTCCACCCGACAGTTAATTAATTGCATGTAGGCTGCCGGCTAGACCCGTATGGCTGTTATATTAAAGATAATATTTCCAAATATAATCAAATATATCTCTAAAGACATATATTGAATGCTAGATTCATAATATAGATGTCTATCTCATCCATTTGTTATTCCCAAGCAAGCAGTGTGGATGGACACACTTAGGGGTTCTTACGGTAGGGGTTAAGCACCTGTGTTAGATCGCTGTGTCGCGTGGGCGTGTGCGGCTAGTTCGCTGCTATTCACATTCATGTCTCTCGAAATCGTCGACGTGCATGTTGACTGCGCAGGCTCGCAGAATCAGGGTGTCCACGGCGGGTGCTTCTCGCGACTGCGCTCTCGTTGTGGCGCCGTGCACATTCTCGGACATGGTGATCACTTTTCGTGGCAGGCGCAAGGGAACCTTGTGTTTTGGTGGTGCAAAGTCGACTTTTCGTGACGGGCGCGAAGGATCGGAGCGGTTGTACTTCGAAATGCAGATTTCGTGGCAGGTGCAGCACTTTGGACATGGTGGTGATCTTCGAGGCACTCTGATTTCGTGACACGTGGCTCGTTTCGTGGCAGGCGCAGCACTTTGTGAACTGGCAGGCGCAGCGCTTTGTGAACCTCGAAGTGCAGATTTCGTGGCAGGCACAACACTTTGTGCTGTCAGATGCTCGCCCTCAGTTTCACTCTCTTTGACTCTTACTCTCACTCTCGCTCTCACTCACACCCACACTGACACTCACACTCACGCTCACACTCACTCTCATGCTCACTCTCACTCTCTCACTCTCACACTCTCTCACTCACACTCACTCACTCTCTCACTCTCACTCTCACTCTCACTCACACTCACACTCACTCTCACTCTCACTCACACTCTCACTCACACTCTCACTCACGCTCACTCTCCTGTTCCAATTTAACTTGCAACCCGAAAACATTGTGTTTGAAGTTGTGAAAGCAGCTTCCGCGCCTGGACTCCCACGTCGCGTAAAAAACGCTCCCGTCCCTCTCCTTCCCGCAAAACGCCGACAGAACCGGTGGCAGGTCCAGCCTGCGCCGCGGTGACGGGACAAGACAACACAGTCGATCCAAACGCGCCCACACCATATTTATGGAACGCGACGACGTCAAACCAAAGAAATTCAATCTGAAGGCCCTACACCTCGTGCAAGACAGGCGGCGGAGGACGGAGGGTTTTGGCCGTCGCTGGCCCCAGTGGACGGACCAGACATCGCAACCCAGTTCCCGGCTTAGCCGCGTGGATGGCTGCGGGACTTTGTTGAGGGCTGCTGCGCGGCGAGCCGGCGCACGCACTTTGTGGAAGCCGGCGCAATACCTGCGCGCCGCGCTTGCAAACTGGTTTCAGCCCGTAAGAAAAAGCCGCCGCAGAAGACCCCGCGCCTGTCGCCCATCAATCCACACGTGCTCTGGCGCCAGCCCGGCCTACAGACCGACTGGGTGGACGTCCACGAAGTCATCCGGCAGCACCTGGATTGACAAGACGATGACAAGTTAGGGGTCAATGCTTCACAGGGCGCTGCCTCCCCCTGGCAGCGGGCAAAGAAACAGAGCAGACGCACACAGCGCCCGAAGATCACACAGACAGCCCGGCCTTCCTCGAAGAATTCCGCCCGCATCGAAGATGCCGAGGCCCCAGAACTACCACATCCCAGGCAGCAGGACCTGCCTATACGGTGGCCTCCGACATCCCAGGTTCGATGTCACAGACGGCGTCTTCTACCAGTCAGTCCCCATGGCGCTTTACCACACCCGCCGACTGAGCGATCCACCGGCGGTAGCTGATGGCCTGGACCTCCACTCTCATCACGAGCCTGGCTAGCGTGACCGCGCCTTGACCTGTATCGCTGACAAAAGTCTCTATCGCGCATGTTGTCACAGTTCTCCCAACCCACCCCTCTTTGGTCTTGTTCACCTAGGAAACCCTCCCACGTAGTTCTCCCTGCGGCGCTTCACGCCCCTCGCATACATGCTCCTGTCCCACCAGCTGCTCAAAACCCTTGTGTACTACCCGTCCACACGCACCAGCTTGCGCCTCCCACACCCAACCGTCGCAAGAATGCTGCTGGATTGATCCTCTCAATAAGTCCGCTTAATAAGCTTTAGAATGGGGGGGCACTGGCATCTTGGAGAATGGTGTGTTTGTGATGGCTTTTAAGTTTTTTGAAGATGGATAAAAGTATCGCCGTTAAAATTACGGATGAGGGGTCAGACCCCACTTTTTTATCAGTATAAACCTGGGGGTGCAGCAAGACTCCTTACAAAATACATAGGTGCATCCAAATGTCAGGGATACAAAATGACAGGGCCAACAAGCATTTTTTGGGGCCACTGGCCCCCATCAATCTATAGAAAAATGTGAAGTCAAGCATTGAGAACGCTGCGCCCTTCATTTTGTAAGAAATGAAGGTTTTCCAACGTTGGTGCATCAGACTTGATCAGTTTGGGAGGCCCCCGAATGTGACTCATATTGTCAGGAACCAGAACTCATTTTGTAAGGGCGCAACTCCTGCTCTTTTTTCTTCTGTAACAACGTAAGCCAAGCCACTGGTTTTTGTAAGGATTCGCCTCTTTGAGACTGTGCCCTTCTGCCAAAGAATGTCAGAATGTCAAAGCTTTTTTTTAAGGCATTCGACTCGGCAACGCAAACATTATTTGTAAACCCGGGAACCATTCTCAACATATTGGCAGTCACGTTCCACATGGTAGCAGCTGCCAGCCTTCGTTATGTGTACAAGTTCTGGCAGATTTTCAGTTTGCAAATGCATTGCACACAACGATTATTTCTTACAAAATGGCAGTTTGTTACAACATGGAATGATACATCTGTGTTTGAGTTTCTTTATAAAACGCATTGGTGCATCCACCACACACTTTCTGCATCCAACAATAAGGCAGAAGGATAGGCACCATAGACTCTTACAAAATGAGTTTGCTCCTAAGACACACTTCTTATAAAATGACATGGTCTGATCTTACTCCTCCAGCCATACCTCAAACTTTACAAAATGGATACTCTAAAGTTCTTACAAGAAGGGCGCTCCTAATTCCCATGGTTTTCTTACAAAATGATAGGGGTACGACCCCTTGATTTCGTACAAAATGACGCTCTAGTTTATACGGGGCTTGACCCCTCCCATTTCATAGTGGAAAATTTAACGATGAGAATATTTGATATGGTTTCGGAGGTCAACGTTCGCGATGCAGCCAGGCTGCATTATTGACATTGTGGGCGCGTTCGTCCGTGTGTCCTGCCCGAGACAGACAGACTGACAGACCGAGACAAACAGACCGAGACAGGCTATTGACATCGCGCGTGCGTTCGTCCATGTGTCCTGCCCGACCAAGACAGACAGACTGACAGACCGAGACAGACAGACCGAGACAGACAGACCGAGTCAGACAGACCGAGACAGACCGACCGAGACAGACCGACAAAGACAGACGCAGACACTCCGGGCAGGCGGCTTCAACCGCGAGGCGCTGTGAATAAAGGTTGAGGGCGGCGAAGCGGGCGTCTTGTGGGTCGACGGGGGCGTGCCAGAAGGCCTTGGAACGGAGTTGGTCAATACAAGCGGCTATATAAACAGCAGACCGCACCCCGCCTGCAGGAGCTTCCTGCCATGTGAGGCCGGAGAAGGGTCAACAGTCAGCAGCGCGGTGAGAAATTTGGAGCTCAGCGGCTCCACAAATTTCAGCCGGCGCTGGGGTTGACCCCCGCGTTAAAGGGCGGGCGGCTGCCCCTCTAAGGTCACCCCAAAAAAAGGAATGAGGTCAATGATGGGGCGGCGCCTCAGATGCAAACAGGCCATGTCAAGATAAAAACGAACATGGATCGAAGCTAAGCTTTCCGGCGCTGTGTTGTCGTTGACTGTGTGAGCCAATCGGTTCCGCTAAATTAAGTTCCGCTCCTGCAACGGTTGCGAGGGTTGAAGGAGAAACACAAAGAAACAATGAACGATCCTCCAATGCTTCCGGTTTAGTGCATCGTTGTTGTTTGCATCCGCTCGCCTTGTTTGACAGCGAGCTTTGGTGATATGTCCAAGGAGCCTCAGCAGCGAACAAAAGGACTTGGGCGCTGCCCCCTCCGGAAGAAATGTGCTGTGGCCCTGACTTGCCCATCAGCGAGCCGCGATGCTCGCAAGGGAGGCCGCACGGAGGAACTGCCCAGACCGTTGCGGCGCACCCTGGTTTGCCGCAATGAAGCCCTTGGCAGCCGATAAAACTCCGCAAAGCAAAGGGAAATGCAAAATCTGAGACTACGGCAACGAGTGCACGAGGGCTCGGCGACAGCGGCAACCCCCACAAAAACAAGACCGCGCAATCCCCACAAGCTGCCGCAACTTGTTGTGTGAATCAGCGTCGGGACTAGCGTCGAGGGCGTGCCTTGTGTTGCGAGGCCGTGGACGGCGCCTGTGGCAGAACCGCGGTGTTCGCGGAACACGAACGAATCAACATTGAACGCAAAACCACATTCGGCCTCGAAGCTCCAAATAGTCCATGCCTTGGAAAAGCCAAAGCTACCCGAACAGCAAAAATGAGCAAGCGCAGTGTTGCGACTGACCCAAGGCCGTTGCGTGAGCTTGTTTGGCTTTCTTGGGTGCCTGGCGCGGCGCAACGTAACACACACAAGCAATAAACAGCCAAAAGGAATGGCCCAATGCAGCCGCACTGCCTTAGGTTGCCTTTGCCGCTGTTCCTTCCAAGCCTGCTTGCGATCGCAAAAGTTGCGCACTAAGCAAAATACAAGTTGGGCCTCGTAAAGCCGCGCGTAGGCGGCAGCAGGGCGAATCTGTCCATAAATTTTCACGCGGCTGTCAAAAGAACAGCACGATGGAAAAGTAAGCAAGCGCTTGCGCAAACTGAGGGCGCTACCGACAACCAAACCTTGCGCCGCTTGGAAGCTTTGGGAACCGCGGCAGAGCAGGCCTTTGCGCAGCTTTGATAAAAAGCGTCGACTTCAAAGAGCAGGCCGCCACGCCACTTTGCAACCAGTCCAACTCCTTGACACACAAAATAGTAGCCAACGACGACAAGTCTGACGAGCCTCTAGATGCGTTGCAAGGTTGGAGGCGAGGCTTCTTTGACAGGCTTGCGCCACAGAAAAATGGTGGTTAATGACTTTGCATCTGAGCCCTCAACCTTGAAATGTGTCTCCGTGTAATCTTGAATCCTCAACCCAGAGCCCCTTTTACATAGGAGCACAACTGCACTTCGGTTGTCGATGTCAATACCTGAGCGGTTGTCGTGAAAACGGCACGTCTATTTGGCAGGTATGAAGGTGAAATGTGACTAGGGGAAATGTCTTTACATATGTAGACGTTGACCGTGGGAATCTGAGGCTCCGACGGTCCGAGCTGCAGAAATCTGATTGTAGAAGCCGTTCATACCTGGCTATAATGCCAGAGATGTGGCTGAAACGTTGCAAGAGTGAACTATGGTTGATGTTTCTATTTTCGTTTGTCTGTCTGTCTGTCTGTTTGTTTGTTTGATCGTTTGTTTGTTTGATCGTTTCGGTTATTCTCTTGGCCACCCCATATGCTCATAATTTTGTTCTGAATTGTTGTAAAACAAAAATAGTTGTATCTATTATATTTACTGTATTGCAAAATTATTGTCTAAACATATAAAAAAAAAATAAAGATATATTTCAATATAGATTATATCGATATAAATGTCAATTTCAACAATATAACTAAATGTCAATAAAGAATATATATATATATATAAATGCAACATAACACGTATTAAACCTGGTTTCGCCTGGTTGGGACTCATCGCATCGGACGCATTTTTTCCTGAGTTTTCCACCCGTCGTCCCGAACGGGTTCGGTGCCTCGGTGCAGTTGCAGCTGGACCCAATGGGTGCCATGGCCGAGCGCTCGCTAGAGAGAGATGTATAGCTGGAACCCAGGTTCGAAGCAAACGAAACTCCGCCGTTCCAACACGCGCCGGGCCTCCAGGTGAAATCGGCTGGACTCTGGCTCCCAAGGGTCTCTCACTGGGCCTTGATTCGGCGGACTCAGGAGGACGGTCGAAGGAATCCCATGGAGTAGCAGGGAAGGTAGACTCCTTCCAAAGCTAAGTCTAACCGAGCAAGGTAGACCAGCAAGGTAGACCATGCGAAAGCCGAGCATGGTGGAATTGAGATGAAGTGAGATTCTAGACCTACTGATGGACCAAATTATGCTTGAGATGTGAAAAAAGCACCCTTGCATGGTTGGAGGCGTTTGACGGGTGTCTTTTGCCACAAAGACACATACATATATGAAACCCAAAACGACATAAACGGAGATAATTGGTTGCACCACCTTGAGATTGACATGTATAAATATTTATGACTATATACAAAATGAGTACCATCCTATAGTTGTTTGTCTGGAACAAAATAGGCTGTTGCAATCCACTCCAAACTCTTCCAGCAACAAACTCTTCCAGCAACAGCTTGTTCCAATTGTTTGGTTTCTTCTTCCAACGCTTCTTCCAATTGTCCATGCCATGCGTCGCTGCTCCTCTTCCAGGCGATCCCAAGTGGCCTGGGCCGCTCCACGCTCGAGGACGTCTTTAGGTCTTTCATCGTGACTCTTTGCAATCCAGAGGGAAACGTTTTCTACATATAAGGCAAACAAATATAAATTCATTGATAAGAGTTTCTATAATATATACAGTTACCAATATATATGATGTTACTGTGTAATTATATCAGTTCATCATAGTTCATGTATTTGACCCAACTAGTTAGTAGTTCCTGCAACAAAAGGCAGGAAAGAATGACTGTTCCGTGGTCTTCGAAGGCCGACCGAGCGACGCGACCCACCCGAAGGACTCGGACGGAGGACTCGGACGGTTCGAGTTCCGACCCTCCAGCGCTGGACATGTGTCCTGTGAGTATCGTTTGGTCATGGGGCATGGGGTGTTTGGCTTGGGTGGATGGTGGTGAGTGAGGGGTGTGTGTGTGGGCGCCCAAGCAATCAAAGAGGCACGCCAGGCAGACTATACACACTTGCTTCTTGGATGTTCACTCCAGCCCTTTGTATAAAAAGCCCAGCAAATGTGATCATCGAACAATGTGTTCGCACCTGTCTGCACCAAACAGTGATCCATCGGAGTGGGCGGATCCATGCGCTTCGATCCGTGCGCCTGCACCATGCGCAAGTGGGCCAAGTCCCATGCTCGCCTGACCCAAAACGATCATGACTGGAGCTGAAGGCCGTGGATCAAAGACTTGGAGGTATTTTAGAAGAATAGATGGGCTCTCATGTTTGAATTGTTAAATAATTTACCCTATTTATGACCCGAATGTCAGTAACTGTTCCATACATGGATGGTCCATGCGCTCTTCATTTAAAATATGTCATGGTTTTGCAATTCTGACTGATCATATGTGGCACGGGACTGCGCCAAGAACAACAAGCATTGAGAATTCCGTCAGCTCATCGCCTAATCAACATGATCCCGTCAGAAACAGTTGGTTACAGTACTGTCATCGGAGAAAAAAAACGGTCTTAATCAAAGCATTGCGAGGGTTTACCAACTGTTCGTTTGAATGGCCAACTCTGGGGTGTGCAACATGTCTGTCTGCATGATCACGAGTATTTCTAGAGTTCAGGATGAACCAAATCAAAGGCCCTGATCATGTTGAAACAGTCGTAGGTCTGCAAAAAGAACGACACTCAGGCAACCGCCACTACCCCCACAACAATCTACACAGGTGTGGGTCCAATATCTGGAGCTGGGTGCCAATCACAGATAGACCAACTAAACCACTATCTGACCGACTAACATCTGTGGTCCCATGCTCTTGCAGACCCCAAGCACTTATCACGGGTCTCTCACATGTACATCCAGTCCCGAGATGCCAAGCCTCCCTTCAACTTCCAGAACATGGTGGCCCCCAAAAATCTGTCACGGCAGTTTGGTTTAAAGCTGCACATGCAGGGTCCGTGCAATCTTTCCCCATCCACATGCAGGTCACCTGCGGTTTCACCTTTCGCACCTTTCACGGCCTCTTGGAGTCGGTCCAAGGGCCCGGCCGGTGTGGCACGGCAAAGGCAGCACACAGCCCGATGAGGGCTGTGCGGCGGGAGAGCTGGTGCACCTCGGCCGGGACGAGCTGTGCCGGTGTGGTCGTCCCGGCACGACCGGAGCGCTTTAAGCCGCATGGAGGCGGCACCCATGGTGCGGTGCACGGTCTGAGTGAGGGAGTTCTTTTTGTCTTTAATGATGAGACATGTACAAGTTCGCATGTGATGTGTTGGGGTTATTCTACCCTTACCTGAGCGGAACCACACACACATGCTTGTCGCCTGGTGGACAGATCGGTATTGAGGAGCTTAAACAAGTGTTTCTCTTTTTGGAAGGATTTGGCCTGCTTCATCCAGCAATCTTCCATTTGTACAGGTGAGCGGATTCAGAGAGAGAGAGAGAGCGAGAGAGAGAGAGAGAGAGAGAACCTATTTTGGCCCCTACCGGGTCCTGACTCCTTCAGGCATGCCATTCAACCCATCGCCTGAATGAGTAAGCAAGCCAGCACCAACCCACCAACCAGCCAAAAGTCAGCCTGGAAAAGAACCATAAGTTCTCGGTAAGAAAAAACATGAAAAAGAAGCATATGTATAACTGTCGCATCCCTTTACCTATGACCCTCATCGACACCGTGGGCTTGATCCGTGGATCCGGACCCGGCGCTGTCGTTGTCCAACGGCTGTCTGGCCCAAGTGCTGGAGGAGCAGAGGCAGTAGCATCCTGGTCGCGCGGCCACGGCGATCGGACCGCTACGTTCGGGGCTCCTGGCATCGCTACTAGGAACAAGGACGCTACTACAAGCAAGGGAAAGATCTCTTAAACTTGTGAATGTCGAGAATAAAGGTTATCACTTGAGTCCAGGGATAGGTGAACGATGATGAACGTGTTCTATCGTTTTGAGGATGACTCTGCTGTCCGGTGAATTCTGAAACAGCCATCCCCTGCGAAAACCGGCATTTTCTCATGGGCCGCCCATGGCACATTTCAAATCCTCGTGGAGTCACGATGTGTTTGTCACGAAACTGGATCATCTGGATCTGTACACTGTCTCACGGTTTGTGGAGCCGCTTGGCATTTGTCTCACACAAAGGCAAACAGATTGCAAAGTAAGTATAAATCCTGAACCCCATCTTGTATCACTTGTCATCGTCGAGGTAAAGGCTTTGTATCTCCAGAGTTCATGGACTCCGGATTCAGCTTGTCCAACAGTGAACCCTGTCGGAAGCGGGTCCTGCGTGGGGTCTCAAGACACACACACACACACCAAAAAAAAAAAGAACGTGCCTCGCACCAGCAGCATTCTGCATGTAGACCTGCATGTCAGTCCACGCACACTTCACCATGCATCAAATCTAATGGCATCAGTCCAGTCTTAAAATTCTCAACTTCTCCAACTCCGAAGTCAAAACCCCACCGAACCAATCCCCACCGATCCACCGGACTGAACTGTGTCACAGCTTCCCTGCGCTGTGTCTTACGGGCTGCGCTTGACTTGCAACGGGCTGCCCGGCCGCTGCCAGGGTCAAGCCCATTGCCAGGTCTGTGGCACCCTGAGCCTTGGAGAGCTGAGACACTCTGAGACAATTGCCAACCTGAGAGAGACAAGTTATAGAGAATGACCGTGCAAAGGTGAGATGATCCTCTCTCCACGCATCTCCCAGTGCTACGTTCGAACGCGAAGTTCGGGCCGATGCAAAATCATTCTGGGTCGCCCATGCCAGCGAGAGGTCCTAGTCAGCAAGCGGTACGCGAGCAGGGCCACGGCCGAATCAGAAGGATTTGAGACCTTTCCAAAGAGAACACTGGGCGTTCAGCATGGCGATGGCCGTTCCTTTTCGCTCCAGATGGAAGCTTTCTCAAAACCGAGGGTCCCCGAGGGGACGTGAGCGGTCCATGGGTCATGTGGAGGCTCTGAAGGGTATACGTTTTGAGTAATTAGAAGCTACTAGTAACAAGTGCCACGCTAGTAGTAACAGGTGCCTTACTAGTAATAACAAAAAGCTATTAGGAACAAGTGCATCGCTTCTAGTAACAAGTGCCTTACTAACAAGAAGCTATTAGAATTAGTCTACTTAATTGATTTGGTCCGTCGATGTCCAAGTAGAGGTGTCTAGTACAGAGCCAGTGAGTGGACCGGCGGCATCCCCATCAACATACATCAACATACAACGATTCCTTTTCCATATAACGACCAGAAATAGAATCAAGGCTCAATGATTCCTTTCACCTGAAGCTTTTAGGTACCAAGCCACACACACACATGCATGCATATTATGTGTGTGTGCAAACTAAACGCCTTTTTGCCTTCGACTCCCATCACACTCTGTTTCTGATCGTCCACCTTTCGCTGCGTATCCACGACCGGCGGCGTATCCACGACCGGAACCACCGCCGGAACCACCGCGGGAACCGCCGTCCTGAGGCCGTTCCGCCAGGCGTCGGCAGCAGGGCATGGAGCGAAAGCTTCGCCTTCGCACCGGTTCCGTGGGGTTCGGTGTTCCGCGGGGTCGGAGTGTCATGAGTCGAAGGAGGCCCGTCATGAGATTCATGAGACCTGCAGTACGCATGTTGATGTATGGATCTGATGGATCTGATGGATCTCTTCGATGGTCGACCCCAATCGGGGGTTTCAAGGCGCCGATCCTTTTTCAGAGTTGTGAAGGCACTGAATCCCTAGGCGCCGGACCAGTCGAGTAAACTGGCTGCAGTGAGGATGGCGCCCAGGCCATGTCCATCCAGGGAAGACACAGAAGAGGGGTCCTGCTGTTCGATTGGTGTTCTGAGCTGGCCAGTACTGAGACAAAAATCCAAAACTTGAGCTCAGCATCCCGGGGTGCTTGCTGTTTGTCTTTGTTCAGTGACTTTTCTTAGATGGTTGTGAATTTGACAAACATGTCCTCCTGGAGGCATGGAAAAAAAATTGTTTCATCACATAATACATAAAAGGTGTCGAATTGAGCTTGGTTCCTTTCTCCTTCCCAGAGTCCTCAAACAAGGGGAAGGCTGCAGAGCAAAGATCCTGCGCAGAAACAAGGCTGCGGGCAGGATCTTAGCGTCCGAGACGAGACCGCAGAGGCATATGCACTCATAATATGTGGCATAACATGGAAGGACTGTTCAGGATGTCGCGTTTCTTCTCCGAGAATGGTGGCTTTGTTCAACAACCGAAGCCTCAGAACCGGCTTCGAAGCGGAGTTTTTCTGGCGCTGGCATACTACCTACGAATCAGTTAAAGTATTTTTTACCACTCGATCCAACCACCTTGCAGAGGAATTGAAAAGCTGCACCTGCCCGAACTTCACTCCTGAAGAACTGTTCAAAGCCTTCCAAAAATGTTGGTGTTTGATTATACATTACTGTATAGTTCTTCGTTTTATGTTATTCCTTTCATTCACAAAGGGTCTTCATGTGCGTCTTGTGTCACTTTACACTGGCCTGGAGTACAACCTCCCCAGGGCAGAGTGAAATTTGTTGTCCAAAGACCGTCGTGCCCCGTAGAAGACCGCTTTCGGTCACGAACAGGGGGGGTCCGCTTCCACGTTGGTTGGACTATTGCAGAAGAAAGTCTGCTATCCTCACTCGGTGCACATTTTGCTCCTTCCACAAAAATCAGAAAGTCAGTAAGGCACCTGCTGGTCAAGCGTCGACTTCAAAAATGCCCTGCACAAACCCTGAGTGAAAGCACGTGTTATTGATCACATTGGCTCTTTACCCACTGGACATCACTTCGCCCCATCACCCACCCACCATCGCCTCATGAAGGAATCGCACCCGTGCGCAGGAGGACCTCATATGCGAAAATCACCTCCAAAATCCCTGCGGAATCGAGGGGTCCGGAGAAGCTACTAGGGTTGCTAGGTTGGTTGGAGGCCATCGCTACTAGTAGCAAGGCACTATAGGAACAAAGACATTCCTGGCTGTGGAGTTTTACTTTGCAGGCGGAGCGACTCGGCCAAATCACCCGTGAAAGCCACTTGAAAAGCCGAACAGCTTGGCAGCTTGGCAACCGTCCGACGGTGCCTCGTCGGAAAGAATGATTCTCTTTTTGTTGCCCGCTCCTGCTTCATTAAGTTAAGGGAGTTAGCCTCTATAGCTACCCTGGACGCAGAATAGCTCGGTTCCTAGAATTTTAGGGAAACTTACACATAGCTCACAGTTACCGTCCAAAGCAAATCCTCAAAGTGAAACTGAAAAAATATGTGTTCCTCGATGATCATGCGGACTAAATTATGTGAAGTACATCCAAATACCCAGCCCCTGGATGTTTCTGTCACAGAGTTTCCTCTCAAAGTCGAACTTCCGTCACCCAGACTCTCCAGTCACCTGGACTTTGTTCCCCGGTACCGGCCCGGTACCGACGAAATCGTACCCCATCCACCCCGTTGAACCACGGGAAGTTCACAAACAAGAAGCTAGTAGGAACAAGTGCCTTACTAGCAGAAACAAGGTTCGCTAGTAGAAACAAGTGCCACGCTTCTAGTAACAGGTGCCTTACTAGTAGTAACAAAAAGCTAGTAGAATTAAATTTAGTTCACGATACTGAGCGCCAAACAAGAACTGCGCCAGCTCTCTGAGGCTGAATTCTGTCAGGCGCTGATAGACGCTGGTGCAAAGGGCCTCGAAGAATTCCTCATCCTACACGTGGCATTGGTGGACGCTCGCCAAATAGAATAGTCGACAGGGGGTTCTTTGGGAATCTCTCATTCAAACTGCTTGATCAATCGGGAGTTCTTCTGCTCTTTCAGACTCTGGAATCCTTACGTTCGGAGCGATCGGACGCTACGTTCGGGGGCTCCTGACGGGGGCCGGCAACGGGTGTCTTCCGTCCGGTGGCCCGGCGAAAGTCGGTGCGGCGGAACGGACCGCGGTCCGAGACGGATCGACGGATTGGCCGAGTCTTTAAGAAAATAGAACCAATCACATCTAGATAAACCATGATATACCTCCAACTCATTCCGAATTGCAAATCATTGAAGATATTGAAGCATTCCGGCGAGCGATGTGTGAACATGCCACGGTTGGATAATGAAATCCAAGCACAAAACATCTTTCTGATCAAAACACAAAACCCGAAATGCCAGGTTTCTCGGGGTTTCTTATGGTTTCTTCTCCCCCCTTACCATTCGATCACAAAAAGTACTCTTCCGTGCAAAAGCAGTCCTCCAGGTCCTTGGATGCATAACACTCTGCGATGGTCACTAGCTGAGATGGACTGAACTTCTCTGAGGTGTCCTGAATCTGTTTGGCCATCATGAAGAGCCAAAATTCATCCATCGGCAGAGCTGCGGAGGTCAGAGATTCAATGAAGCACGTGAGCTGCTGGGCCGTCAACTCAGGGATCTTGTGGCAAACTGAGTTCCTGGGCGATGGCTCCAGCAAACTTGGATCCAGAAGAGTTGGCATCGAAAACCTTGAACAATCAAGCTTGTCAGGTGAGTATCTCCAGATGTTCTTGAAATCTAAATGTCCTTTCAACATCGATTTGGACATGCAAAGTGGCATATTCCAATTTTGGAGGTCCGCATTCCCCCAGCCGCCCCATCCTTTCCGGCACAGCTGTTTGTTTCCACCAGGTCTCGTGAAGAGCTGAACGATCCGCGTGCCGAGCGCGATGGAAGAGCCATCCACCTGTCAGGGGCTGCGCCAGGCTGTGCCCCAGCTGTGTCCGGTCGTGGTATTCTATTGAAGCCAATTGGCCAAACCATCATCGTGGGTGCCAAATGCTGGCTTCAAATGAGCAGTGCAGTTGCTATCTGAAGAAGGTGCATGTATGTATATATATATACACATACACCTGTAGGCCTTGTTTGGGGGTTAGCCTTGAAAGCAGGTACCATGATGGATGATGCACTTCCTGTTTCAGCTCAGAGTTGGGCCAGAAACTTGCCCTGAGTTGCCAGGAAACTTACAGGACACATACTGACATCAACAAGATCTACATACATTGTATATTGGTTAGTGGTGTAGTGTATACATCCAGATTCACGAGCCAAAACTGGCGTTCCAAACTATGTATGATGATGACAGTACGTGTCTATCTTTGTCTCTCCTCTTCATCAAACCAAATGGCCTCGGGCCCAAGTCAGCAAATGTTTGGGAGGCCATACTATGATTCGATACTATTGACCTACAAGCCCTTGCATCATTGAATCATCTAGCAGCATATTGACTACGGGGGGGTCCGCAAATATCCCTGTTTCATTTCATCTACCAACCACCCCAGTTCTTGCAGCCTCTCGCAGTGTTCGCCCGACCTTAAGCTGCGCCGTCCGCAGGGCCGGAGTTCTTCGGCAGTGGTCGAAGAGCCAAGCAATCTGCTCAATGGAGAAGGCCTCTTGCCTGATTTAGGGAAAGGAAAAGCAGGCCAACACGAGCAGGTGTACAAGGAGTCAGTAACAAATCCACCGATTTCGTGGGGAATTAAGGACTGGCAAAAGATCCTTGATAAGCAGAACCACATCCGTTCTTCCAGCTAAGATTGAATCAAATGGATCCTCTAGAGTCTAGAGGTCCTAGGTATATATATGTATGTATGTATGTTGATACATATTATACAATATGGTACGTATAAAAATGTATAAAGGATCATAAAGGTATGAGCAAATTAAATGACATTCACGTTCCATCCCGATGCAACCAGCTGGATCCATTCAGAATCAGGGCTTCGTCTTCGGTGAAGTCCCAACGTGTTCCCCAGCAGTGAAGTAGTTCTTGGGAAGACAATGACTGCTATGGCCACTGTCAGTGTTTTAGCTAGAAGGTAAGGAAGCCCGAGTCGCTCTTGTAGCTCTGCGATGTCCCGCCAGTGTTTCGAGAAAGCCTTTCGTGTGCCATCCACTTTGATCGCATGCACAATCCGCTGGACCCGGGCATCTGAGTCTGCCCGTGCATCTGCGTCTGGTCGAAGTACGGTCAAGGGCGGTGAAGGAGGGCTTCGGGGAGGTGGAGGTACAGTCTTTGGTACCTCTTGTGGGGCTGGAGGTGCGACGCCTGCCACTGGTGAGGCTCGGGGTGTCGGTGGCGGCGGGCGAAAGCAAGAGCGCAAGGTGCTCAGGGGGGGTGGTGGCAGCTGCGGTGGTGGCACCAAAGAGGCTTGAGACAGAAGTTGCTGACGCGAGAGCAGTTTGGAAGACTTCCACCACGAACGCCATCTGGAGTGCCCATAGTACATGTGACAGTTGGAGGTTGAAACACTGACCATGGAAAAATGAGATTAAGATATAACCACTGAGCAGGTCGAGTGCATCCCGATTGGCCCAGGAACTGACACGTTTTAAATTTGTTTCCGGTGAGCTCCTAAATCCGAGCAAGAAGGGAAGATTGGAAGATCCAAATAAGGGTCAGGTGAGTAGCATGATCAAGACAATGGATTCTCTCTCACTCAAGCAAGTTGTCCCCGCAGATTAGCATAGATCCCGAAACTGCACACACACACTCTGACACTTGTATTCAGTGAACTCAGTTACCACGTTGGGA